TAAGGGACAAAATCCTCATTTTCTTTTATCTACAAGATACAGAGTAGTAATGATACAAAAAAAAAATGAAGTACAGAAAGATATGTTTTGGGAATGATAAAAAGCTTTTGAATACCCAGTAGCAAAAAAATAAGCTGGAAACAGATCGACAACCACACTGGGGCAAAATAAATCTAAATAAATTTGGTTTGGCCTCTGGAGAGCACAAATAACATAATTGCATGAGACGAAGCCATTGTCCCTCATGTTCCTGCACACATGATGGCAGAGTTCTTCAGTCAAGTGTCATAGCACAAAATGCATCAGCTGTGTCATCTTAAATGTACAAGCACAACCTTCATGTTACAGAAGGCAAATATTAAGGCCAAATCAAATTGAATTTTGCAATTAATTAACATCAAATGAATTAAACATTTTTTAATGAGATTCCATACATGACGCTTAATGGACAGAGATGGAGGGATGTCTTTATTATGATTACACAAAATACGCAAATAGTGTTTTGAAATTTCTGGTAAATATGACTGTATATTAACCTGAAATTGCAATTTTAATTTTAATTTAAAAATACAATTAATGCCCTTTTTGAAGACGAAATTGTCCACCTTTGTCTTTGGGTTTGAAAGTACAATATGGAACTACCTGTGCTCACTGTTGATGTACATACTGTTATAATAGATTATTGTTTCACTTTTTAAAACATTTAGTCTAACCACATCTAAAGTAACCTAAAATTGCAACAAATCACAAATGGCAAATTCATATACCACAAAACCACACAAGAAACAAACAACACCCACTGCTTCACTCGGCCCACTAGAGCTTCGGGAGGCGGACAAAATATAATGAAATTAAAGGCCTACAGATTTCCGAGTTTTTGTCCCTTCAGTGTACAATATGGGATTAAATTGAAATGAAATTGAATATATAATTCCTTCATCCAATACACATGCTCTTTTCAGCCATCAGCCTATCTAAGCCAACTTGTGCAGTAAAGCACAGCAGTATCAATGTAACACAGTCAATCAATGGAAAGGCAGATGACACTATTAATCAAGGCGAACCCAGGAGAAACATTGAAAAGAGATTCAAAATCCATAATAGCTAGCTGGACTTGCATCTCTGTGCTTCTCTCTTGTGCAGATTAAGTAATGCCTTTTCATGGTCATCAGAATTCAATAAAACAAAAACAATGCACCCAGTAGGTACCAACGTTTTAATCTTCTTTATAATATATTTTTCTTAATTTCTATCTGTTTATTCATCTATCCATACAGGCTATTATTATTATTATTATTATCCATTTATCTTATTTATTACTTTTATACATATAAATACATATATTTATAGAACCCTCATTTTTTACTTGTCTTGTGTTAAATTATCTTCAGTCTCTATCTTGGACCCATCATAATTTGCCCAAGGTTTTACAAAAAAAGAGGTTCTACTTCACATTATACTGGAATGTTGGTTATGTAATGTGATACCTATGGCAGCTGATTCTAGAAAAAGATTTAAAAAACACCATTAAGAGTAGCATAGAGTAGATGTCATCAAGTCAATGTTCCATCTTCCATGAAGTATAGCAACGTAATGGAACTAAAAATGGTCCAATACACTCTACAATGTGTCCTTTTGCAGCATTCACCTTTCTTTGAAAAAAAAATTAACAGACTACAACCACCTGTTTCATTCAGATTTATTCAGTTTCATAATTCTAAGACTTTACTTACTTGAACATGAAATTTCCATTACCTACCAATAGGTAATGGGTAAAAAAGAATAAAAAATAAGTATGTATGTACACAACTGATGGTTTGAATATCAAGCAAACACAGCTGACGAAACATGAAAAATATCTCCCTGTAATAAATGAATCGGATGTTAGGTTATTACTGAGAACGTCAATATCTGGATCAGGCCTCTTCATCAGCTGAAATATCAACTAGTCCCAAAAGACCAAGTCTATCAAATTTTGGTTGTTCTCACCAAAGACATGATATAAATGAGTCCGAACTGTCTTTTTTTTTTCTTCCTGTTATTTAGTTAGATCGGCTGGAAGAGCTGATAAGCCTTGGTGATAGATGGGTTTTCATCGAAATCCCAATATTACATACTACCCAAACATCAGGTGGTCCGTAATTAGCTAATGAAAAGGATCTTTTCGATGCACTGTCTGCTACTGTCTGTGCTGTTGTGTCTCGGGAATAATCAATATGGAAACCAAGCAGTGTACCTCTAAACACTCCAGTTAGATACAACTCAGGCCATTTCATGAAATGTTAAGTTGAATCAGAAATCAGGACTAGAGAAAATTATACTAACACTGATATAACCAATATGTTTCTATTATCCATTGCATTTTCTAGATCTGTAGCCTGAACAATGTAACCCATACATAGATCACATACAAGAGCAACATTTCATTATTTAATCAATGACAATGAAGTTTGCCCTTAACATATTGAGCATGAAAAAAAAACTTGCATTCATTTAGAAAAAAAATACATATCCCCCCCCCAACCAATCCACTCCAAGTCATTTCACCTGGAATCATGTCCTTAATGCAAACAGTTCAATGGGATATTCATGTCTTTACCACAACCTAAAGCTGATAAGAACTCTAAAATCCATCATGCATGCCATTAAACAAATGCCTTTAATCTACCCTTCATGATCTTGCTCAAGAGGAAGCAGAAAGGCCCTATGCATCCGATCAATTATATACTACCCTCTATTTATATTTGTCATCCTTTATGTATATTATAAAGCCAATTATACCTGCTATTGTTTCCAGTATTGAAAGCCAGAAAATGCTGATTTCCTCTTGGAGATCATTCCAGCATGTCATCTTGATATATTCAATACCAACGTGCTTAATGCGACACTGATCTGCTTTTTTTTCTCTTCTGCTGGTTTCATCTGAGCTAAAACTTGATTATCCCGCTGGTAACAGTGCATGCTATCAACAGCAGTTTGCTCTGAATGCTCTCACATGGTCTAATGCAAATGCAACCTTTCTCTTGACAACTCAATACAAAGCTTTTTCCCCTTCTGGGCAATTTCCTTTAAAATGTTGGCACAGATAAAGGATGCAGTTGGATTCTTGACACAGCGAAATAAACTGTTTTTAGCTGCATTTACAGACCAACAATCCAAACCCCTGAGTGAATATTTTTATGCGCTGCTGCCTGCATGGCAATAATTGCTCTATATTCTGTGCTAAAGTGATTTCATATTGTTTATTCAGTTATCTTAAGCACACTGTAAGTAGGATAAACTGTATTTATCCCAACAAAACACGTTTCATATTGTTGGTATAGTACTACATTATAAAACTAACAAAATATTGATTGACACTCAAAAACTGAAATTAAACGTGACTTTCCAAAACTCAGTGAATTGCTCTAATGATGTAAAAACAAAACTGAACTTTTCAAAAACATTACAAAAGTTTTTAAATAAAGTGATCTGCAAAACCCCTTTAAGATAATCTGTCAATTTTACTGGTTTTACATGCTCACATGCTCAAATGGACATACTAGTATTTGATAAATTTTCCATGATAGCACAGGCCACTAGAATAGAAGGGGAGGGGGAGGAAAAAGGGAAGAGATTTTCATTACCAATAGTTTCTTTTTCTTTGTCATTCTGCTATGCAGGGTATGGCTAATGATTTTCAGAACTTATCTGCCAAAATTAATTAAATACACCTAACGCTTAAGCTAAAAAGTTGCTGACATTTAGCATTTTGAAAATTTTAACAGAATGGTCGTAGTCAAGACAACCATAGGGGTGAGTGTAATTAAGGCAGTTAATCTAAAATATATTATACCATAATACAATTCAGTTGAGTAAAACACTGTGGATGCCAATTAATAAACTGGCTATAAGACATTATTCTAATTTTAAAACAAATGTTCTCTCAACTTTCTTTCAAAACATTACATTTTTGAAATGGATATTACATTTACTATCAAGTAGAAATTATTCCTCCCTTAAAATAGAATAACATCTTTCAATGAAGAAATGTTATTATTTCTGTCACATATATGATCAATGGACCTCAGTTAGAATGTACCAATTGGTTTATGCTTACAAGGCCAATATAAACCAAATATATGACGTCTGTTTGTAATGAATAATATTAATATATGGAGCAGGCCAAGACTATATATATATATATATATATATATATATATATATATATATATATATATATATATATATATATTACACAAAATCAACATCTTTTTTTTTTTACTTTATTGCTAAGCAGAGAGACAGGAAGTGAGATGATAAGGTGAAATTTATGTGCAATTGAACTAAGACTGCATAGATATAATCTAAATATACATATGCATGTTATGATGTATCATTTATTTTAGTGATAGTGTTAGAAAAAAATAACATCCCCGCAAAAAAATCAATTCAACCCAATATCAGGGCCGTCTCTATTATTAAACCAAAACAATGACTACATAGCAGAGAAATACTCATTTCACACCATTTTCACAACAATCGAAAACTAGGTGAGAGGTGAGGTGTCGCTCTCTGGGCACCTGCTCTGATAAGCAGCGAGGCGAGAGAGGGACCGTCACGGCTCACGGTACTAGTACAGCTGTCCATTCAGCTGTGGTCGCAGCTAGATTTGTTTCAAACTAATGTGTTTTCCTTACACTAACCAATGAAGCTGCAATTGGTTGGGGATTTAAAATTAGACTAGGCATATCGGTAATCGATTAAGTAACATAAAAGTCCAATACTCACTTCCCAGCCAAGCCATTCTATCTCCACAAACAAATCCCAGGTGCACTGCGGAAACGAGACTGTTTTCCGAAAAATTAGGTCAATGCTTAGAGCTAAATAAAATGTGTTATTGTTGTTGTTTTTAAAACAAAATACTGTGATAGCGATATTTTATCATATGGCAATATATAGTTATTCCCACAATTATTTTTATGCCTTTAGCATATGCTTTACTTTCTTTTTTATGAAGATATAAGTTGCCCTACGATCCCATACAGCAATGTCTATTGCAACTTCCGGTAGTTTCTTCATCATTGGCGCTAACCGCACGTAACATTATACATGGCAGTCTTCCCTCTTATAAAATTGGTGACATTGAGTATCAGACAGCTAAGTAAACCTATTGCCAACCAAATCAAAATTAGAGCCAAGAACCACGAAAAGTTTAGAGGACTGCTGAAATGGGGAGCTCAAAGTAAGTCACACCTTCCACAAATAGTGACATACTCAGTGAAATAGTAGAATGTAAAATCTATGCAGTAACTCAGTCTTTGACATTGCCATTGCTAACTGTAAATGCAGGATATACTTGTTTTGCTCACTGTCATGTCCATTATTTAACGTTTAGTATTAGTTGAATTTTAGCATCAACATTACTGATAGTATATCAAGACTCGAGTTACTGTACTGTACATGCAGTACTTGGTTTGAAAAACTAATTTAAGATCTTGGAAGGAGAACAGACCAACTTACAACCAATTGGTCCTTTACTTAAACTTTCAAAGGTATCTACAATTTGATCAATATGCTATTTGTTATGCTGTATCATTTATATATTTGAACAGAATACCACCGCATTGAAACTACCTCCAAGTTGAAGTTAATGGGAATCAAAAGCACCAAAGAAGTGAAACCGTTGAATGAAGAAATGGCCGTAGAACTTGGGGCAGACATGCTGGGGGAAATATTTATATGGAGTGTAGCTGTAGCTATGATTGGTCTGGAGAGTTACAGACAGAGCAGCAAGAGCACGGCCAGTAGGGAAGCTGTGAGAGAAGACTTGGAAGATCAAATACAGGCACTGGAGTTTAAACTTGAAGAACAGGATACTAAAATTAGGGAACTGATGAGACTTTCTCATCATCTTGAAACCGAGTTAACCACTATGAATAAAACATTGACAGATGTTGAAAGAAATACCAGAGCAGCCAGTAAAACTGCAAAAGTGAAAACTGCTAAGAAACCTAAAAAGGTCACTTCAAGTTCTCTTGCAAGGCAAAGTTCAGTATCACATGCTGTTGATGGAGCTATAAGTTCACTATTTGGAAAGTCTTAGCAAAGGGTGACAGAATATTGAATTTTGAATTATCAAGCATGGAAGCAAGCAAAGAATACAGTAAGTGTGTACACTTCACAGAACGTGTGGTACAGCCAATTTTACCCTAAACACTGGACCTATATAATAAATAATATTATATAGGTCCAGTGTTTAGGGTAAAATTGGCTGTACCACACGTTCTGTGAAGTGTACACACTTACTGTATTCTTCCCTACAAATGCGCCTATAATCACACATGGAGCAGCAAACAAAGAGACTAAATTTGAAAGTTTGGACTAGTTACTTTTATTATATTAGTACCTATTTAATTTTCAATAAAAGGTTAAAATGCTATTATTATTAAAACTAATATAAAAAAATTAAAATTTTATACATTTTTACAAATTGTTTATCTGTTGACTACGATGCAAATCAGATTTTGTTGCATTAAAAAAATTTTAATTACAATATAATTTTCAATGATTTTACAAAAACCAAAAAATTCTTAATGCCACCACATAATTCCCTGAATTTTATATAAGAAAAATGAGGAGTTGAAAATTAAATCGAGAAACTTTCACTACCAAATACTTACAATTTTTACAAATATTCACAATTTCTTTGTATCATAAAATCTAATAAGAGCTGCCTTCAAACAGATTTATATGTTTACATTCTTTTTTCAATCAATTTAAAACTAGACATTCACTTCATGCAGTGTTGAATGACTTTTTTTTTAATTTTATGGTGTTCCTATCTGAGTCTAGAAAAACATATAGCATACATGCTTTTGGTAAATAATCAGATGCTTCTCTTGATGCAATGTTATCGAGCGGAGTCCAAAGTCGGGGAAATATCATGAGGGAATATTAGATCTCATAAGTTGTTGGAGCCTGTTTAATCTGGCATCTATTTCTGACATTTCAGCAGATCGATCAAAGTAGTCACTATCTGCACCTGAAATAAATAGTGAAAAAAAAAGAACCTTTAAATGTCATTGTATGCAACATTAGAATTAAGCAGTGTACCAAGCAGGCCTCTTTTTTAACTGTTTCAAATTGTTTGAATGTCATCCCTAGAACTGCATGTAAATGGAGAGTGAACATGTTGGATTTGAAATCTACACCGCTGAGGTTACATGACATTACAAAGCAAGGAGCATCTTGATGTGCTACATTGTAACGTAAATGTTGTCTTAGTGCCAAATTTTTAGCATACATCAACTGTCCTTTGTGTTTTCATTGTGTTTTGTAATAAAAATAAAAAATTTCACAAAAGATTTATGTTTCATGAAAGTATGCTGAATAATAAAAAATAACTACCTACCCTCCACAGCATAATTTTCTTTGCCTCTGCCGACTCTTTTCCTGTGTGCTGTTCCTACAGAATCTGGGGTACTGGCCAATGTGACAGCCAGTTAAGGAAATAACATGCCATTTTTAATTGGAAATTAAGTATCCTTTAATGAGCTGGGGTAGCACTAACTCTCGCCAATTTAGCCAAAGGCTAAAACAGACCTCCATTGACTAAACAAAATGGGGTTGATTTGATTTTAGTCAAATTTGAACCATTTTGCGAAAAGTAATGAAAAAGTAGTGATTTGGCTAAGTGAAAAACAAATTGCTAGCACTACCCCAGATTAAGGTTACTGTTTTATTGTCTAGCCAACATGGAAAATAAGAAAAGTGAAATTGCACAAATCTGATATCGTCAAAGGATATAATCTTGACTTGCTTGTGGCTGTCTTCCCTTGGTAAGGCTGAAATTAGACAGCATTAACAGATATATCAGATTAACAGAAAAACATATACAGGAAGTTTACATCTTGGTTTTGCCCCTTTTAAAAAATTACTATCAAGGGCCATTTATTCAGGAACCGGATATCATGAAAGAAGCACGTTTTATACTTACAACATTAGGACTATCCCACGCAGTTGAAGAAGATGTTCTATTAGGCTTCAGAACTCTATTCAGATTTCTAAAAATAATAAAAAATTACATTAAACGGATCAACCAAATTATGGACAGTAATGAATTGTAAATATGTCTTCAAATCAATTTCATTGTTTAGTTTGTTCTTTCAAACAATTCAATTAAGTCTTATTAAATTGTTACATAATTGGCCTAACATAGGAATCATTATTAACAAATCTTGATGGAATCTATGAGACATTTTATCCAAAATTTTACAGCTTACATATTAAATGTATGTAAATTTAAATTTACCTTAACCTTGAACCAGATGTGTTAGGCAAGTCTTCTACATCACTAATTGAACCCCTAGAGCCCCTAGATCCTACACTGCCAACTGAAATTAATTTTAGATTTATATTTGTTTTATCAAATGTACATTTCTTTTCAATCGTTAAGCTTCAAAAGGCATTTGAAGTAAATGATCAAGAAAAACATTGTAAATCTTATGTTACTAGTAGATTTTAAGTTAATAAATTATATGACTTAAATTACAAAAATAGTCTCATCAAATTCTTTTCACATTAAAATGGTTGTAAAAAAGTTTTTATATCATTTATACCTGATGATGTCCTTGACCTTGTTCTTTGTCTCCCTGGTAACGTAAATACAAAGCATATGAATCTCATTAATATCAGCAGTATCATTTTTACTGGTAATTTTTTTTTTCTCTACTACAAAAAATCTAAAAATCTAATGAATAAAAAAAACGAGAGAATATTAATGAAATAAATGAAAAGGCACATTTTTAGATAGACTAAAATATAATATCAATTTTTTACCGGCTGGTCCCAGCTTCCTCCTTTCTGAAGTGGTTAAAGAATAACTGGGTGAAGGTCTGGGTCCTCTCTTCTCACTGCTACTGGGTGCATAGCCTGGAGTCCGCCTTTTCTCAGTGCTTCCAGATAAACTTGAACGCACATACCTTTTTCTAAAAAATTGAATATCTTGAATAAAAAACCTTTTCCTTTGTGAGAAATATTTTCTGAACATGAAAGATATGTTAGGAATGCTGATTATATATGGTAACAAGAAGGTATTGCACTTTATTGAACGTTTCCCATAAATGTCATTCTCAAAAACAAATGTAAATATTATTTGACTATGTTACTTTAACTTACTTCTTCAACTCTGATTCTTTTTTCTTTCTTTCTTTTTCTTTTATGAAAGCAGTGGGATCAAATCGTGGTTTTCGTGCCCCTAAAATAAAAATTTCCAAAATCACAAAACTCTTTCCACCATAGTACATTGTCAAGCAATGCAATGTCTTGTCATATATAACTTAATCACTAAAAATAGGATACTTATAGATAACTAATCTGAAAGGTGTACTTTAATATTACTATATACTGCAAAAAAAAATCAAGGAGGGTTTTCTTCATTTAATAAACCTTACAATAATGTATAAAGTAGAATAAATGGTTAATTAGCAGCAGACAAAGTAACACGACTAATTTTGTGATCTGCAACTTGACCTATTCCCAGCATCTTTCTCTTCAATGATCCACTATGAGATTTGCACATTTTCTCTTGTATTGCAACTGACATACCAAGTAAGGAAATATCTATATGACATCCAGGGTTTTGGGTACAGGGTGTCCAAAATGTGAATCTGTTATTTGGCAACTGATTCAACAGCAAGTCAAACCCAAGCAAGCCCAACCAAAATTTTGCAAGCTGTCCAGACTTCTTTGGAAAAATAGACTGTCTTTTGAGGTCACTGGTCATCCAAATGATGGCTGAACAACTCTTTGGGGAAAGCCTAGGTGACACAATTTATAATTTCTTGATCTAACTGACCTGCAGCTGATGGTGGTGTCACAGTTCTTCCTAGGGATGGCCTCCTGCTTTCCTGAGATGAAAACCTGTCCCTGGATCTTAGGGTAAAAAAAAAAACGGAAACTATATTTTCATAATGTTTGTAAGAGATCAAAGCAGTATTTATTGATTTTTTTCCTTATACTTACCTTTTTTTTTGTTGTTGTTGTTGTTAAAGAGAATTATACAAATATAAATTATATCTGGGCCTTCCTCTAGACATAAGCTTTATGTGGATTTGAAATTTTGAAGAAATGATAAGATATTTACCATTACTAATTACGATATGACAGCAGGGTAAAACACTGAAATGTTAATTTACCTTGATCTATCTCTACTAAATGATGACAATGGTCTATCCCTAGAACTTGTTCTTTCCCTTGAATGAGATCTATCTCTAAGATAAGAGGACCGCCTGCTTTCCCTTTCCCTTTGAGACTGTTGGCTGCTAGAAACTGCAGATCTATAAAATTCAAAAATTTAGAATTTATTTCAAAAATGTTACATAATTTAAGACCTTACTTGAATATAAAAATAACATGCTTTAATAGGCTAAAATAGGCCATGAAAGTATATATCTANGACACGCTCTTAAATGTATGTAAATTTAAATTTACCTTAACCTTGAACCAGATGTGTTAGGCAACTCTTCTACATCACTAATTGAACCCCTAGAGCCCCTAGATCCTACACTGCCAACTGAAATTAATTTTAGATTTATATTTGTTTTATCAAATGTACATTATTTTTCAATCGTTAAGCTTCAAAAGGCATTTGAAGTAAATGATCAAGAAAAACATTGTAAATCTTATGTTACTAGTAGATTTTAAGTTAATAAATTATATGACTTAAATTACAAAAATAGTCTCATCAAATTCTTTTCACATTAAAATGGTTGTAAAAAAGTTTTTATATCATTTATACCTGATGATGTCCTTGACCTTGTTCTTTGTCTCCCTGGTAACGTAAATACAAAGCATATGAATCTCATTAATATCAGCAGTATCATTTTTACTGGTAATTTTTTTTCTCTACTACAAAAATCTAAAAATCTAATGAATAAAAAAAACCAGAGAATATTAAAGGTACATACGAACCGAGCATCGGTGGAGCGTGGATTCCCAATAACACATGTAAACCACTTCTACTAGTTTCTTATACTACTCAAATAAATTCGACATGCCAATGGATAAATTGAATAGATCACTCGATCAGTCATAAAAGAGCTTTAGACTGCTCCTTTCTTTAAATTTTTGGTTGGAAATTTAACCTACTTTCGTGACCTACTTTTCTGCCCCATTGACATACAGCATAGAATGCTAGCAGAAAAATCCGTTCAAACATCATTTTCAGGTAAAATTAAACAATGCCTTTTGGTAATTCTCTTAGTTATACTATTTGAAACTATATGCTGGCATTTGGTTGGTTTTTGTGCCAAAAATTATCTTTGTATGCATCTTTAATGAAATAAATGAAAAGGCACATTTTTAGATAAACTAAAATATAATATCAATTTTTTACCGGCTGGTCCCAGCTTCCTCCTTTCTGAAGTGGTTAAAGAATAACTGGGTGAAGGTCTGGGTCCTCTCTTCTCACTGCTACTGGGTGCATAGCCTGGAGTCCGCCTTTTCTCAGTGCTTCCAGATAAACTGGAACGCACATACCTTTTCCTAAAAAATTGAATATCTTGAATCAAAAACCTTTTCCTTTGTGAGAAATATTTTCTGAACATGAAAGATATGTTAGGAATGGCTGATTATCTATGGTAACAAGAAGGTATTGCACTTTATTGAACGTTTCCCATAAATGTCATTCTCAAAAACAAATGTAAATATTATTTGACTATGTTGATCTTTCTTCTTATTTACACTTACTTCTTCAACTCTGATTCTTTTTTCTTTCTTTCTTTTTCTTTTATGAAAGCAGTGGGATCAAATCGTGGTTTTCGTGTCCCTAAAACAAAAATTTCAAAAATCACAAAACTCTTTCCACCATAGTACATTGTCAAGCAATGCGATGTCTTGTCATATATAACTTAATCACTAAAAATAGGATACTTATAGATAACCAATCTGAAAGGTGTACTTTAATATTACTATATACTGCAAAAAAAATCAAGGAGGGTTTTCTTCATTTAATAAACCTTACAATAATGTATAAAGTAGAATAAATGATTAATTAGCAGCAGACAAAGTAACACGACTAATTTTGTGATCTGCAACTTGACCAATTCCCAGCATCTTTCTCTTCAATGATCCACTATGAGATTTGCACATTTTCTCTTGTATTGCAACTGACATACCAAGTAAGGAAATATCTATATGACATCCAGGGTTTTGGGTACAGGGTGTCCAAAATGTGAATCTGTTATTTGGCCACTGATTCAACAGCAAGTACAACCCAAGCAAGCCCAACCAAAATTTTGCAAGCAGTCCAGACGTCTTTGGAAAAATAGACTGTCTTTTGAGGTCACTGGTCATCCAAATGATGGCTGAACAACTCTTTGGGGGAAAGCCTAGGTGACACAATTTATAATTTCTTGATCTAACTGACCTGCAGCTGATGGTGGTGTCACAGTTCTTCCTAGGGATGGCCTCCTGCTTTCCTGAGATGAAAACCTGTCCCTGGATCTTAGGGTAAAAAAAAACGGAAACTATATTTTCATAATGTTTGTAAGAGATCAAAGCAGTATTTATTGATTTTTTTCCTTATACTTACCCTTTTTTGTTGTTGTTGTTGTTTAAGAGAATTATACAAATATAAATTATATCTGGGCCTTCCTCTAGACATAAGCTTTATGTGGATTTGAAATTTTGAAGAAATGATAAGATATTTACCATTACTAATTATGATATGACAGCAGGGTAAAACACTGAAATGTTAATTTACCTTGATCTATCTCTACTAAATGATGACAATGGTCTATCCCTAGAACTTGTTCTTTCCCTTGAATGAGATCTATCTCTAAGATAAGAGGACCGCCTGCTTTCCCTTTCCCTTTGAGACTGTTGGCTGCTAGAAACTGCAGATCTATAAAATTCAAAAATTTAGAATTTATTTCAAAAATGTTATATAATTTAAGACCTTACTTGAATATAAAAATAACATGCTTTAATAGGCTAAAATAGGCCATGAAAGTATATATCTTACTCTTTTAATAACAAAAAATTTATTTCTTTAGCATGAAGCCATATACACACTGTGATGAATTACAAACATACTTTACATGATTTAAAACATTCCCTCTTACCTTTTGTAAATGGCAAGTTCATTAGTAAGGCTCTTAACCCTAACCTTCAAATTTCTCTCAGAGGCCCTTAGCTCTTCTACCTAAAAGGTTTATATAGTAAAATTTTAATACACACAAAATATAGTAAATTAACATTAAAACAAAATATGATTTGGCAATGATCGAGCAAACTGAAATTCCCTGTACATGAAGATGGGATTACACAACAATGGATTTTTGATAAAGCTTTGGTAAATAAACTGACACAGCAAAACAAGCAGCTCACCTCATCTAAAAGCTGCCTATATTCTTGATTCCTCTTGTTGGCTGACCGTTGATGTCTAGCCTTTTCTTTCATCAACTCTTCCTCTAAATTCTTCACCACAGTTTTAAGAATTTTGACTTCCTTAGGGGCACCATGCTTTGCAGCACTTCTCTTGTACTCCACCAGCTCAGCTTTTAAGTTCTCGTTCTCATCTAAAACTGCTTCATAGCTGCAATCAGTGTAAACACATGTAAGAAATGAGGACAGAGAACTCCAATAAAAACTTCTGTTTCAGGGCTAGATAAGTTTAGACCATGTATTTAGTGGGCCTAGAACTATACAAATAACTTAGCCAACATGTTTTCTATTTGATTAAATAGGAATATAATGGTCTTAGGCTTCCCATAGTTATCTATGCTACTGCCACTCAAATTTCTGTAAGACATATAACTCTTCCATAATACTTACTCTTCTCGAAGTTTTTCATATTCTCTGTTTTTCAATCCAGGAGATAAACTCTGCTAAAAAAGAAATGAACAACTTAACATTTTCTATACGTTTAAGCAAAACAGACCCACACTTTGCATTAAGCCACCACAACATGGCATCAAAGTCATCAACTAGTTGCATTCAGTGACAATTTCATCTTCTAAAGAAATCACTTCAAGTCTACAAACCTGCTGTTTGAGATTTTTAATTTCAGTCCTCATCTCCCTTATGCTTTCTTGGAGAATTCTTGGGTCTGGTTTCCCTTGATAAGTTAATGGAAGTGGGTAATGAATCCTAAAAAAAAATAAAAACTTGGTGAACTGTTTTCCTGTGCTTTTTCCTTTTTGTTCACATATTTGCATAACACATTAAATTTTACAATACAACACTCTTTCTTTTTAAGTTATTCTATCTTCATTTAAAAAAATGTTCGACGGTCATACTTTCACATGTCAATCCCTGCAAAACCACTTTTATCTTTACCCCAGTTCAGACCTTAAAAATAATAAAACCCCTAAAAGTACATGGCGTATATATATTTCCCTCTGGAATGTAAAGGTACTGGCCAGTCATTCAGAACTTAACTACTCAATTACAAATGGTACAAAACATCAAATCAAGGAGAGTTGTTCAAGGATTTAAGCCATTTCCTTCTTTTTTTTTTTTTTTTTTTTTTTTTTAAGGAGGAAAATTCAATATCCACTGACTAACAACTCCTTGATATAAGAATATAATATTTTACCATATTTTAAAATACCACACAGAATAAAACTTCCCCACCTGTCAAATTCCACTGTATAAGTGAGTATGAGGTATCTTTTGTTCCCCAGGGTAGTGGTTTTCCCAGCAGCCTGAGGGCGGGGACCTGCCCCAGTTTTCCTCTGCCGCAGGGACTCCAGATCAGAGTATGTCAGTAGATCTAAGGACACCGAGTCTGACACCTACAGTAGTAAAACCAGGGAGTAAAGAAAGATCATAGAAACTTACCTTTCAACACTAAATACATGTTTAATGTTGATGCATATCTACATATGTAATTTTGCTGCTATTTATTTGTGTACTAGTAAATATTTTTTTTTCTTTTATATTATTACTATTACTTATTACCTCAGTACACTTCACCAGCTCAGTCTGATGTAAAAAGTATAAATAAAGATATATGTTGTCTCCTTTCTGGACTTCTTATTTCAGTCATTTTTCACTTGAGACTTTTGTCCTACTCATGGCAACTGACAAGATCCACATTTATCCTCCATATAAAATGAATTCAATCATGCAAAATTTATTGCATCAAACTAAAACGTAACAGCAAGTGCAGTTTTTTAGTAAGCAACTCCAAACTTGCGATTTAGAAAAAACATTGGACACACACACATGAATGATAATGTGAAGTGCGAAATACAAAATTCATATAAAAATATACGATGCTAGTGTTTATAAGAACATGCACTGTACCTGTGTTAATGCAGACTCCAGCATACTGACAAATATTGTAAACTGTTTATATAAGAATCTTCACTGTACCTGTGTTAATGCAGACTCCAGCATACTGACAAATATTGTAAACTATTTATATAAGAATCTTCACTGTACCTGTGTTAATGCAGACTCCAGCATACTGACAAATATTGTAAACTGTTTATAAAAGAATCTTCACTGTACCTGTGTTAATGCAGACTCCAGCATACTGACAAATATTATAAATTGTTTATAAGAATCTTCACTGTACCTGTGTTAATGCAGACTCCAGCATACTGACAAATATTGTAAACTGTTTATATAAGAATCTTCACTGTACCTGTGTTAATGCAGACTCCAGCATACTGACAAATATTATAAATTGTTTATAAGAATCTTCACTGTACCTGTGTTAATGCAGACTCCAGCATACTGACAAATATTGTAAACTGTTTAAAATTCCCAGTTTTATGTGTGAGATCTTCAATATCTAAAATGAAAGGATTGAAATTACGTAGATGTCTATACATAACAAACCACACACCTTAAATACTTTTTTCCTTGCATTTATGTCTTTTCATTTGATGTAAGATTTAATCATTGAATTTCATAGATAACTGAACATCCAAAGTGTAACAGTATGCATTAAGTCTATTATTTCTAAATACTAATTTTTTCTCACTGGTAACAAACCATAATTTGATTTCTCTGATAAAAAAATATTACTATCATTATTCTTTACATCTGGATGCTGACATCAAAATCAAATTCATGAAGCTGTTACTTATAGTACAGAGCTAATTTCTAAATAGACATTAGGTTCTTACAGGCAGAATCAAAAGTTCCTCTCCACTGGTCAGCTGTAAGCCTGTCCTCTACTTCTACTGTGAGAGTGCTCCCACCCTCCAAGTTCATGGTCACTACATACTCCACATCACGGAAGTAGTAGGTCGCTGTCACAGAGGAGTCCTCCTCCATTTTGGCAGCTGAAACAACATAGATGTGAAAAAGTGCAATTCAGAAGAAAACATTGTTCTCAGAGGGTCTGAAAATTCCAGGCTTCAAATACTAATATATACCAACGAACAACATCTAAAGACAACTGACAATCGATAACCGAAAACTTTTAAGTTATTTAAAACACACCTTTTTTTTTTAATTTTCATATCTGAAAGGAAGTGACTTTGGAATTTTTTCAGGGACTTTTTAATGAACTTGATGAATTAACTTGATTTTTAAGTATATAAATTTAAATAAATTTTGCTTTAATCAATTGCTTTCCTTTTGTTTTACTTGTAACTTATACTTAACACTTATATTATACAGTCTGTTGAGCATAATGTGGACCTTGGACATTTGGTATGTAATATATAATTAGTATATCATAATTAATATTAATCATTATAATTACTTAGTTCTCCCTGTCCTGGGATAGTGAAAAGAGACCTAAAATCACAACCAAGGACGACAAACACGTGTAAGACTAAATGGATACTGCATGCCATAAGTAGAGTATAAACCTAAGTACATCGTGATTACAAACTTTGACAATATTTCTGTGCTCAAATCGGAACCAAATTCAAAAGCAAAAAGCAAGATAAGTTCCAAAGTTGGTGCAATTGTGCTTTCAAGCGCTCACAGTTAAAGACTGAAAAGTTCTTACCTCGGGTCGACTAAAAACGGCAGTTGTTTTTCTATCCCAAGTTGTATTTTCTTCTCATGTGACACTTGACATTGCCATTGATGACATCAGTCAGCAAAGATTGAATTCCGAAACGTCCGCCATTTTGAAACAAATCAAGTGCGCATACTCAGTTCAAAGTTATTTCCGGCATCTTTTTAGGGTTGTTGTTGTGCATTGCATTAGTTGTTACTTTACATCTGGCAAGTTTTCACAACAACCACAATTCCTAACGCTGTTTTGTACGTTTTATCAACTCACAAATTACTATATTTTCTAATATATATGTTTACTTCATTTTTTATTCTTTTTGTTTCAACCCTGCACAGTTTTTTTTTCGTCTACGGAATTTAGTCAACTTAACCTGCACAGTTTCAATTTGAGCAAACATTTAAGTAATTTAAGCCTAGAAAAGACGTAGTCTATTTCAACCATAAAATAAGTATTCTAGACATCTTTTGACTATTATCATTCAAATAAACTAGACAGAAAAGCTGTGCATGAACCAAACATGCTCAAGGTAGGCCTATCAATGTTAAGTAGAATGCAACCAATTCACATTTTTATGAAAGTACTCGCGTTTATTGTTCTTTTGTTTTCATATATACAGTATAGGCCTATATAACAGGCTAAATGTCGCACTCGTATAGGAATTCTAAAAATCGTTTTAGATTACATTCAGATATTTATCATTATTATTCCTGATGCCAGAATAACGGTATTAGCAAATGGGAAATATATGTTAAAATAAGCCAAGATATTTCTTCAATGGACTGGGGGCCGTATATCAATCTACAAACCAAACAGTAGGCCTACTGTCGTTAACAGCGTTCCATCCATTATGGAAAGAAAATAATGACTGGATCGATACGTCAAAATCCCCTCCAATATATGACACTTTGTGGCACAATTACTTTTTCAAGGGTAATTACCTTCTTTTAATCAACACTATATCATCTTAACGAGAACCAAATCACACATGCAATGTATTATTCAAGACCCCATACCATCACCGGAGATGTCTTTGGGCGACACCATCTCCAGCACGGTTTACCACATTTCGATTAAAATGTGTTTTTATAATTCCCATAATTACGTAGGCTCCCTTATCTTATTACGTCGGTGCGTGTAACTTTTCAATATCCCTACAAAAAGCGAAATTCATATCAGAATTATCTCGTATGTAAGGGCCTAAGTACCGGTGAAACAGATGAAAGGGACTTTTTTTCGGTGAAATATCCTCTTCCTGGTCAAATAGACAAAGAGAACTTCCAATCACAGTGAGAAATGTGATTTACTGGTTACAGTTTTTGTTACATAGTCTCATTCGTCATGTTCTTAAAGGTGTGGTACTTTTTTATTTATTTCCTTTAAATGCATACTTTGCGTGATAATACTATTAACTGTTGTTTCTCAGTGAATATATCAAGCAGACAGTTTTTTGCGAGCAGATTTCCTCATGTTTTTTGACCAGATTTTCTCTTTACAGTTTTCGGTCAGATTTCCTCTTTTCGTCGTAAAAGATAAAAAGATTAAAAGTCATCTACCCACGGAAAGAATTATTCCATAACGGTGAAAGGCGTTTCACCCAAAAGCTCTGGACTTCGGTCTTTTTGACCTATAACTATTGTAGTTTCTATGTTAAAGTCATCAACTATAGTCTTAAAGCATCAGTAATCTTAAACTCTCTTGGTCTATTGACCTATTACAATTGTAGTTCCTATGTTTAAGTCATCAATTACAGTCTTGAAACATCAGTAATCTTTAAACTTTAACATTCATATTTAGAAACAAAGTATAAGTAACACGACTCTTCTGAAGTAAGATCTACATTTTTTAATCCAAGAGAAAGTGTGTTTGGCTTGCGTTTTGAGACACAATATAAGTTTAAACGCAACAACCTCCCTTAACCGCGATACACCTCTTCCTTATTTATCTACACAATGTAAGCTACATATGTGAGTAATAATCGATACATAGCTTGATCTACCTACATTCCGTTCCCCACATTTAAATTAAACATGCGACCAGGCTTGATTTTATATTCTCACGCCAAACTTCATGGAACGTTGATCACGATGCGGCTGTGGGTCAAAGCATGTCGGTCATTCCATCAGTGCCAGTCTTTATCCATTTGATTTTCAGGTTAAATTGAGTGTAGATTTTGAGTATAGTTAAATAATATAATAAGATGTGAACTGCAAAAATGGTAACACACGTCTGTTTTAATTGCATTCAACACAGCTATGAGGAAATCCAAGTCATTAGTTTTTTTTTTTCTTTTTTTGCCTGTGTAATTAAATGGTTGCAGATTTTTAAAGTAAGCGATGCAGAAACACTTCTATTAACTAGAAAAATAACAGTGTTTTAGCGGCATTTTCCAGAAAGTGGCTGAACTTTGCTGCCAGACCGAAGGCGCCGTGCTTGAGTAACTGTCAATGAAGATAAAATGTCTTGCTTCCGTCGAGCTCAAGCTCTCCTTTGAAGTTTCCTGTAGCGGGCAATGCTCTGAAGCCAGGAATCGATATTACGACGCTGGTTGTCGTCGAACCAGTTGCAGGCGTTTGCTGTCGCCGTCAGCATATAGACGTCGTGCTCGTAGTCCTCACCGCACCTGGCGTAGTTGTCATAGCAACGTTTAATTGCACTAAACACACGATTAGCGTCTATGTATGTCGGTTTGGCAAGCAGGAACCGTGCTATTAGTAGTGATAACTTTGGGATGGTGTGAGGTGCATAACCATAATCATAATCAGAGTCAAAATCCGTGTATTGTTGATCTAGAAGCTGGTTTCGCTTTTCCTGAAGATCTTCTTTCGTTTTCACCAACTCGCGCTCCAGCTTTTTGTTTCTGGACTCTGCCAAGTTCAAATCCTGTCGCATTCGTCTCAGCTGAAGCTCCAGCGAGGCGACGCGGCAGGCCAGTTCAGAAACCTCAGGAGAGCGAGCGGCCTGGTAGCCGCGATAGCCCCTTTTGTCCAGCAGGTCGTCCACCTCGCTGACCACGGCTGCAATCCCGTCGCACTGAACCTGGTGGCTGGGCAGCTCGTAACAGTTGATGGTCAGGTCGCAGCCTGCACACTGGACGGGGGCGAAGTTGCACGAGGCCCGATGCTGAGGGAGGTTTTCAACCTTGACCACGGCTTTACACCCGCGGTCGGCGTAGTCGCAGTCAATGTCCAGAGAGTTGATGAGGTTACGGATGGAGTGGATGGGCGTGGCCTCATTGCTGAGACAAACAGCTCTACACTCAGGGCAAGAGTTCGTGCCTGGGCGCGAGAGCCATGTTTCCAAACACAGGAGACAGAATGAATGTCCACACGGCGTTAACACAGCGTCCTCCAATACGGCGCTGCAGACGCTACACAAAAGATTCTGGTCGACGTCTCGAGCGAAACGGAACACTCCAAATCCCATTGTAATGCCACTGTGATATGAAATTCTCGGTGTGTCGATGTGTGTTTTATAACAATAGGTGTATTTGAAAAGAATATGAACACCTGTCAGATAAATAAACAATATATGGAGTTATCCAGTGACGCATCAGAAAAGTCCACAGTAGTTCTAGTAGTCCACAGTCATAAGTAATAATTCCGAATCCTCTTCATGCAGTGTTTATAGGTAACCAACTGCAGGGCGTGATACATAAAACATAACCCATTCCTAGGGTGCATTAAATATAGATACATGGGTCGCGTGCAGGTTAAACGCAGCCTTGCATGTTTTTAATTAGACTTTGTGATGAACGCCCAAGTCTTTGTTGGTTATGGGCTAATTAGATTCCAGAAACCCAATCGCACACTGTCACCTAGCTAGTTTTGCGTGTATCTTTTTTCCTTGAGAAGAGTCTATAATACACGCTAGGCACCGGGGGAGAGTAATTGACAATCGGTCGCGTGAGGAGAACAACGCCAATTTATTCGTTCAGTGACCAGCGTCTCCTCCGTTTTCCGACGGTTGAATATTAGCAAAAACTTTCATTAAATCGGCAGAGGATAGACCGCTTCAATAGCTGTGCGTCAATAATTTCCCCTGAAACAATTTTGAATCATGAAATGACGAATGATGAAAAAACGTAAATAAAAAAATGTTAAGATAAGCTATAGTAGGTATACCACAGTAGGTCGTGTCTGCATGCTTGTTATTTCCGAATGACAAATCTCCCACTCTCTTTCTTTTTCTCTGTCTCTCCCCAGCACACACACGCGCGGGCGCGTGCAAACGCCCAAAATGATAACCACAAAATCATTCACAAATTTCATACATACGGACTTTCAAAACATGGCGAACAGGCTCGTGCAAGCTCCATTGATTTAAAATAGAAAACGGCAGATGGTCAGCTCTGAATGCATTAGTGTCAATAGCTTGGATGAGACTGGAAAATGCAGGCTTATTTACAGTATTGACCTGTGTCACCCGCATCTTACCATATCCGCCATGCAAAGCTATCATCCAGCAATTGCTTACTAACAGTAAGTACAGCCATCAAAACTATGGAGTTACATTGATTTCTTGAAATTTTTGTCTTTGATCCAAATCTCTGCACTTGGGTCGTTAAATTGAGAATTAAATGCGGTTGTGTTTAAACAAATTCTCGAGTGTTGGAGGCAACCCCATACAGAAAATTTGCTTAACAAGATCAGCGACGATAAAACCTCGCTTCAACATCGCATATGCAAAGTTAAGGATCAAAAAGCTCTGTTAAAACTCACCTGGTCTGCAATATATAGATTTTCGCTGTTCGTGGTTTCATTGGTCTTATATACTTATACACGATACTTACTAGGTGTCAGAGCTCAACTGTGTAGGTAAGAATTAAGTGAGGCAATACAATCTGTGCATTGTTATAAAATCGCCCGCACATTAGCCAAGATCTAACGCTTTCAATCGATAGACCAATGTATGAATACATGGATAATAGATATATCAAAATCTTCGGTGAATATGTATTAACGGCACTTGTAGAGACTGAATTGTGGCGTATGTATCGTGTATTTGAATATAGATAGTATTTCCATCTATGCAGAGTATAGTCCCGAATCAAGTGGCCTTTGGCACTCTTTCCTGGGTTTTTTCTTTTTTTACAGAGCTTGAGTCGATTTTATCGTTTTTTCACTGTTGAATATGTGTGCGTGTGTAATAACTTTCATTCTACGGTTGAATAATGCACCTAGACGTGAGATTGTAGATAGCAGATTGTGTCATGCTATATTCTGACGTGTTTGTATACTTTACATCTTTACATAAAATTATTCAAATGCAATATTGCTGTACGAGGTGGTAAAGAAACCTCAATGTAGGTTTACGAATCTTATATTTGAATAATGCAAAAACATACTAGTTTTTTTCAATTTATTTATTTATTTAACAGGGTAATCAGGGGTCTTTTAATTAAAATGATTAAACCTAAAGCAACGAAATAAAACATTAACATTGAAATCATTTGCGCCAATGGGATAACTATACCCCAAAGACCCACGTTTTTTGCCTTGCTCATATGATTAATAATCATCTTTATTCAATCTTTTTCGATTAATACTACAGACTTATAAAACGATGGAAATACAATGATATATAATATGATAATAAAAATATGTTAAAATCCAGTAAATAAATTAAAAACAGCATCGCAACAATATGAAAAAAGAACTAAATAATACAGAATGATTAGTGATAAAATGCATTTTCTTCAGTCCCATTAACTTTACACTGCAAAATGAAAGTCAACGATAAAACATTGGTGTTTCTGTAAAATAGGATGTAAACACATATATGCGACAATGCAAAGTTGAAACACACCGCAAAATAAACAGCAAAGTATGGGGCTTAAAAGCAAAGCCTTACTTCTTGTTTTATTGCTTATGTATCTTCCTGTCTCCTACCCCGACCCCTAACAAGCACGCGCGCGCCTTCTTTAAAACACTTTGTCTTCTTTATCTCCCATTTCAAGCATAAAATCTTAACTGTCCGCTGAAGCGACGCAGCCACTGGTTAAACGGGGTTTCAAAGTTCGACATAAAAGGATTATATTGCGAAGGACCCATGGGTTCATCAGTTTTTCCGGGAGCGCTGTTATATCTCCAGTATTCAAAATTCAAGGAAGGAATCATACTACATGTTACGCGATGGTTGTCGCCCCCTTCATATAATTCTAATAGCTGAAATACGTCTTGATAATGTGTTCTGAAATAGAAACAAGAGGTCGTTAATGACTGAAAACGTACAGGGAAAATCTTACTGTTGAATTTAAGAGTGGAATTATCCGAGATTGGCCAAATGATCTAGGTGTCTTCAACATTTCGCCAAATCATTTCGCTGAGAAGAGGCGATACTAATAAGGTCAGGAGGATAACCTAAGAAATTTACCAATCAACTTCATATGTCCATTAACAACTGCTACAAATTAATTTAACAAATTAATTATAAAAAATGTCAATATGAGTTGAAGCCAATTTGGGCGTCCTCTGACTAATTATCATTCCTGCATTTACACATTTTTAATATTTTTAATATTTTTTAATATTTTTAATATTTTCAGTTGTGATATTTGTTGATAGCCGTGAATTTTCTATAACACTCCAGGCACTTACCTCAAAATATCATTAAACGCTCTCAGGAAAACTTTTGGTTGCACGGTTCTTACATTATCCAAGTTATCACATATAATACGGGCCATTGATGTTAAGCGAATGCAGTTTAGTTGATCTCTTGTAAACCCGTGGGCATGGTCATTTTCAAACCAAAACCGGTCGCCTGTTCTTAGGCGTTGAAACTGTTCTCCAATCAGACAAGCAAATGTGGGTCCTACTTTGGCTCCGGGTAGTCGAGTTTCCAGTAAGCCACCTGACCAAGAATCAACGTCGTCTGGATGTCTGAATAATAGGAAAGCGCCATTTTAGAAAGTATTTGATGTAAATCCATGTCAAATCCTATCGTATGTTGGACATTAGTTGTGGTCTTTAATACTCAACAAACGCCAGTAGTGCTATATATGTCGTTTTGTGTGTGTGCGTGCGTGCGTGCGTGCGCGCGCGCGCGCGCTAAAGTTAAAGCGTTCTAAAACAGCGGATGTTGTTTGCAACAAATATGGAATTAATCTATTTTCGAAAATATTTCAATGTAAGGCTTCTTTGTTTGTTTGTTTGTTTGTTTTGAGTGTTGCTAGACAAAAAGATAGTCATCTTACTCATAAAGTGATTGCAACTGTGCTATGACACTGGCAGACAGTCGGAATTCGCGCGGCCCCCGACCAAACTCTGCGAATGTTGTTGCCCTGTTACCTCCACAATACTCACGCCAGTAGTTATAACCTGTCAAAATAGAAAAAAAAATAATATGATGTCAAGCAGAAAGAAAGGAAGGGGAGCTACTTATTCACTCTCTGATTACAGGGTCCACTACTAGTCGGTTACAAAACGATTGCCCTTTCTTCAATTTTGTATGTGAAAGATAATACATAGTCGCCCAAGCGATATATGTCATAACACATCGAGCGTCAGCGCGAGATGTTGAAGGCATATATATCGCAAGAGGGTTGCCGGGTATTATTTGACATACATACCGATAAACAAAAAGGGATAAAACGTACAGCGCCACGGTCATGATATGTATATTTTTCTAGATGCCCCTGTAAGATCAGAGGCTACTACTTATTACCATTGTTACGAACGCTATTAGCACCCTTGACACGTTGACACCCACGCCAGTTACCACTGGTAGAACACCCTAAAACACCAGGAACAGGTAGAACACCAGGAAAGACCCATTACCTGGAATACCGTGGTCACGGCCACGCTGTATGTTCAACATGGACAGGTCGGTGCCGATGCCACTAGGGGTCTCTGCAAACAGATGAATACCCACTTCTGGGGACATGTGATGGTCAGTATGCTCCGTTTTTTGGTCAATCGCGCCCAGGACAATTGCGTCAACCCCGCCATCGTTACCGGCATACATGAGCGTGGGATCATTAAATAGCTGAAATACAGGACCAGAAAAGTTAAATACTTTCAGGATGTAAAGGAATCAACTCGTAGAAGCAAGTTTAAGGTGACTTCATTATATAGTTTGATAATCACGATCTCTACAAAACACCGAAGAAACACCCAAAACTTGCAAACACGCACCCAAGAATGTCACCTACTTTCTTTCTCTTCTAAATCAAAATATTGTGTTTCTCTTTTTCTTGAGTCAATAACAGTATCTCTTGTCAGCGCACTCTGAATGAGAATATGGCGCAACTTTTCTTACCGTAGAAAACTTATGGTCTCCAATTATTCTGTGGTCCACAGATGTTCTCCTATGTGTGTCCGGTATCTGACTGTGGCCAAAGCGAAATGCTGACGTGGAAAATACATTGCTGATGCGCGCATCAGACTGTGGGTTATAACCTAAAAGAAAAACGTCATTTGAAATTATGAAAATTGCACAAAACTGGCTTATTAAAGACGTGCGGTCCTGCATTAAGTTCTAGAGATGACAGAACAACAAAAAATGAAGCATTTAATAATTATACGAAAAAGTATTCGGGACGTTTAGGGACGTCAGGCTAGTCGATATGATAAGCTCAAAAAGAAGAAAAACAAGTAAGAGAAAAAAATCTGGAAACAGCAGTACTCCACTATATTGCCAAAACGGATAAAATTATCAGTATCGTTTGGTTTTTCACAACGTGAAACCTACCACTGAAGAACCCAGTATTCAATAAATTCAAGTTATATTTTCGCATTGTGCTTTTCCCAAGGATAACAGGAAGGTATTCGTTGTAGACGATATATTGGAACTGAGCCCAGTTAATTTTTCTGGCCTCTTGGTACAGTCTCTCCCCGTCCCAGTGCGGATTGTGTTTGTGAAGCTCCTCCTCAATACGATTGTGTTCACGCGCCCACAAAGTGTGGTGTGACATCAACCCCACGTGTTCATTCACTCTGGGATCGCCTGTAGAATCGATTCAATCGGTTAAAAGATCATTATGGGTATGGATCTAAAAAATTGATTGTGGTATGGGTGATAAAAAAGCAGACAAATGTTAACTTTTCTTATAAATTATAAATGCTCTCGTGTTTTCAATTTCAATGTTTGTCTTGTGAAAATATCTACAGGAGATGACAGAAAACACATATAACTGCTAACAAACATTCGTTCAAACATGCTTTACGACTTAAGTGGTTCCCTTTCAGGTACTTCTCAAAATTTCAACTTTTCTCATCCTCGCGATCGCTATACCTGTTTTGAAGCACTTGACAATGTCATTGGCATTCTTGCACATATCGAAGTCTCGAGTTGGCAGCAACGGTTTTAATGATGGATTAAAAGGGTGAGTCAACATTTTTAATTTGCCACGGCCTGCAAATACAGAAACAAAATAAATAAATGCATGAATGAATTTGTAAAAAAAAAAAAGAAAGAAAGAAAGAAAGGAAATATGATAACTCCCTTCAAGTAATTTACAATCAAACCGACTCCTCAAATCACTCCCAGATTTGGGAAAGGAAAGTCAAGCCTGATAGTACCGCCTCAGCCAATACAATGGGTACGCGCTGTATCTTGCATAAAATCATTTTCACAAACAACACGAGAAAACATCAAAAAAATTGAATGTCTTAACACACACGTGTTGCTTTAGACTTACTAGCATCTTCATCTCTCAAAGACTGGGCTTCTTCCTCCTTATTTCCATACACCAGTGACAGGTCTAAGTAGGCCGTGATGACATTGGGTTGTTCTCTTGGGCCTGAGAGAATAAAAATCAGTAAGAAAGATATAGACTCTCATAAAATAAAACACATTTTATTAATTTGCTTTTCATCTATTCAGTCTGGACCGTCATTCAAATCTTTAATAGTGAATTTCTTCTTACGTTTGAAGAGTTAAAACTTTATTTTTGGACATAGTGACAGAGTTCGATTGAACAACGAATATGTTGAAAACTTCGTTTTCATCCTCTCTATATATATATATAAAATACGATAAAACAAAAACGAACATAGAATTGCTATCAACATGGGCCGACCAACTTGAAAAAAATCCCAGTAAACTAAAGCTAAAAAGGCGGTAAAAAGATTTCAAATATACAATGTATTTGAAATAATAAAGTAGACATTAATAAACTTTACTTAAAGGTTATTCTACTAACCTACTCGACATTCTTCTAACGCTATTGTGGAACTTCTCACAAATTTGAAGCAGGACTTGGCCCCGGCTACGGGATCCCCGGGTAAAACCTTCACTGGGGAGCAGGCCGCCAGGTCTCCGTCCCCCGTGGCACAGTTGTCAGCACCACAAACCACCTTGGCTGTTTTGTTACCATCTGGAATTTACGGAGACCCAGTTCAGTATATTGTTTTAATTTGATATGCATTGACTGTTGTTGCAGTGACACAAACTTTTCTAAAATCAAAATTGTTAAACTTCAAGCTTACTTCTGAAAGACGGACAGTTTAAAGCTCAATCAGGATTTCTAGACAGACATCGTCAAATTTCACTCTTGACATGAAAAGTGAGGACCTTTGATAAGAACTAACCTGAAAACAGGTGTGTAGGTCGTAACTTTCTCTAAGTTTTTGGAAAGTGTTGGAATTAACATGATTTTTTCTACAGGGTTTTTTTCCACAGGGTCATACTGAGTCTTACCTCTTATGCCTCATAGGCAATACTGTTCAGTAGAGCGTACTGAAATTTCATTCACATATAAGGAATTAATTTTAGCTATTAAAATCTCAAATTAGATCTTCAGTGTGATTTAGTTTATATATCCACCCCATATATGCTTACCACGTATCAACTTTGTGATCGGCGTCAGGTCAAGGTCGTGGTCAAGAAATTGGCCAAAGGTCATCACCGCCAAAGTGGCAAACTCATCGGCGTCGCTGACGGGTTTGTGCAGGACATGGGACACGGTTCTGGTATTGGGAAGGTCAGCGCCAGACTTCGCGCGGCGCAGGGTTCCAACTCCTGTAAAGCAAAACATTTTCGAAGACTATATATATTTTAGAAGACTATATATTCACCCTTGAGATGATTATGCTTTTACCTATTTATTCTTCTATTTTTTCATTTATCCTAAGGTAACTTTCAAGCAAATGATTCGTTCATAGCTATTAGACGAAGTTATTAAAGCGAAAACTGTTATGGTGCCTTTCCACGAGTGTATTTATTTATTTATATTTGTGCTCTTAAAGGTGGACGTTCATGTGGTTTTTATGTGAAATCTTGTCAGAGGTAAAATGGTTTTCACAAGGCCTTTGGTTAGTGATAATTGCTAGGCTGTCGTAACGAACTAATGTTTAGTTCTATGAATAATTTTAAATGCTTGATTTAATTGTGAATTTTGTTTATAATGCGAAAAAATCCGTAAGAACAAAATGAGCAGTTTATAGTCTATAGTTTATGTCTTATCCCCATCCTCTCGAAATGGGAAGCCACGGCTGGCGAAAAACGGCTTGCTTCTTTGCAAAAGTCGATGGACTTTATTTATGCTCTTAAGATTTAGCAGTCCAGACGGAATTATTAATTACTTTCAATAAGATACCCCAAGTAGTTAATTAGGTCGGATGAATTAACATAATCTTGATAAGAATCCATATGACAATCTATGGAGATCACAAGGACTTGAGTTCAGCGGTGCGCTTATGCAAATGGGTTACAAAACTTCACCAGGTCAACAGGTCAACAAATTGATATACATAAGGGTATATACCCTTAAATTCCTTAATAACAGTGTCTTGTCACTGCTACTATATTTTTGTGTGTACCTTCAAGATCCGTCGGGGTTTCTTCTCATTTACTTCACTTACTTTCACTTTTGCCTTTTGGTTTAAAACTTAAATATAAATAATCAGTAAGGCTGACATAAAGCGGGTGTCTTTCAAATCTCGTGAACTCTCCTGTTTACAAAAAGGGCTTCGGGCTGAACAAGGAAAATAAGGTTTCCAGCATAGTTTTTAACAAATCTGAATGCAACCGAATGCTGGTAGCCGTTTTAAGAAAAAAATCTACTTAACGGTCAGTTATATTTACTAGTAGCTATGTGACGTTGATCCCTGAGTGAAACATAAGGTGCGTTATTATTATTATTCGAATGGAAATGGGGCCTTTGTCTGCAAGGTAACGGCGCCACCTGTAAAACATAGGCTCTCCATTTGGGTCATCATGACCGTCAGTCGTTCAGATTTATAGATTAGGCATACATCGAATAATCCTGAAAACAAGTGCTAATTGCTATCTTTCTAATCTCTCACTGGTATCTGTACAAATTATCCAGGTGTCATACGCGAACAGAGGTGACCCATGACTTGTACAAGTAAACATCTGAACCCATAATACAATATTGGGACTGTAATATTTGATTGAACTCAGAACATAAAAGATTCTCCTTGCGAATTTATCAAAGTCACAGTGCGTTTTATTTTCATAGGAAATATGAATGAGTTGATGAAGTATATATGAAAACGTTGTGTTCCTTACAACATGGATTTGCAGATAAAACTGGGTGGTGAGGTCGCAAATTTGCGTCTAGCAAAAATGTAAATTCAACTATCACATTAGTACGAGAGAGATCAACAAAATTTACTGGGATATACAGTTATGAGAATATGTTTATTTGCACTCTTTATGTGATGTTTTGAAATTCAGTTAACGCACATTTGGATTTCTGAAAAAGATGTGTATATTCTGTGTGGTAATGACTAGGGCTACCAGCACTTTTTTTTCAAAAAACAAACAGAAGAGGCAATCTGATAATAGCAGAGGGAATAAATTAACTTACCATCTCCGTAGTCCGCACTGATAAGGCGTAATAAGGGTGTAAAAGACTCTCCCCACGTTGGATGCTGCAGATTATTACACTCTCCAGTAATGGTTCTGTATTTTGAATTGGCATCGCAAGTTTTGTTACTGGAACAACTCTGAGTAACTTGTGAGCGACCTAGACCCACGCTACCTGCAACCTCGAAATCGGGTATTGCCTGAATTCCAACTGACTGGCTGTCAAAATCAAGGTCTACATTTTCTACTGTTTCTCCTTTGGAGAGACCAAACCTTTTAAACAGAAAAAAGAGAGACCAAAATAAGTATACCTGGACAAACTTGAAGATAGGCCTATTTATGGAAGACCAAATCTTGAAACTATATATATATGTTGCAGGCTAGATCCTGAATAAGCCCAATTAAAATCTGAAAATAAAATTTGACTATGGTCGATTTTACACCATCCTGGATTTCAATCTGGCCTGCAACATATATATATATATATATATATATATATATATATATATAGAGAGAGAGAGAGAGAGAGAGAGAGAGAGAGAGAGAGAGAGAGAGATTACATGTACAAATTAACACTATTCACATTTTTAGTTAACTTTTAGTAAATTTTGTAACTTTTGTCTAGGTGGATTATAGCATTTAATTTATTTAATTATTTAATACATTTCCCCCATTTTCTAAAGTGATGGTCTAGTATTTCAGGAAGACGAAGGCATGTCTTACCACTGTTACCTGTAGACCCATAACCATTGACTGTTTAATCTCTGGTAGTAGACTTAATTCACCAATTTTCTTACTTTTCAAAGCAGTCTCTGTATACTTCAGTCTGCAACAATCCTTGTAAATCTAAGAGTTTTGTTTGCAGATTCCCGGCTTTTATTGTTGACCCCACGATATCAAAGGCGTGTTCCGATCCTGCTCCTGTAAAACATTGCAATAGATACCTCGTATTTTATATATTGCAAAGAAAAACATCTACTAATCGAGAATATAACGGGAAACAAAAATGATTGAATTTTTAATTATTTAGATGATCATGAAATTATTTACGTTCATCAGCAGTGGAGGTAATGCTATGCTATCTTCACCAATTTTATGGATCAGATCCAACCATCAAATTTTGGAAGAGCAATTAAGAGATAGATAAAACGAGGGGTAGATATGATCAAGAACGAAAACCTCCGTGTTACATCTAGTTGCTGACTGGGTGCGCATATTTTGGACACATTCACATGTCTGTGATTCACCGCCAGATGCTGCCATTTTACAGCTCAGAATCAGAACATTTCTGGGCCCTGATTTCTCGTATTGGTAGCACGTGGTTCACGATAGATTACCTGAGACTCCCCCGTGTCTTTCACTGTCGATATGTCTTTGTATGAATTCATTCGCCTTTGCTAGAGCCACCCTTATGTTATTTCTACATTGATCTGCTGGTCCACCTAAAATGATCGAATTAAGTTGATTTCTCGTAGTTGGATTTTTTTTGTAAACGATTGAGATATACAAATCGAGTCATTCTAAAACGAGTTTGTATTATCCAAGCGTTTGAAACAATATTACTCATAAAGAAATAAAGAGATGCATAAACTGAAAGTTCAATATTCTTATACTTTGCTGTCGACCCAAGGGGAGCAAAAACAAAACCTTGTGTGACCCCTTTTCAAAATCCTATTATTCCCCGTTTTGTCACTCGAACAAACAAACAAATAAATGTGTGTAAATTCTTACCTTGACATAAATCTAACATCAGGACAAAGCTGCTTAGGAAAAAGATTTTCCTGCCCTTCATCTTGATTAACATACTCTGAAAAAGTAAAGGGAAACACAATTCAACATAACTTTAAGTATAAATCTTTGTACAGTTAACAAAACGTCTTTTCTTCGTCTTCTAGGGTATGACATTAGATCACTAGCCGTCTCATTCACTCACCACTACGTACATTAACTTTTCAATCAGAAGTCTTCAGAGACAGACCGACCAAATTATTTTCGACATTATAAACTACTATATATTTATATGTATACTGCATGAATATACAAGATGAAGCATATAATAATAATAATATGTTATGAGTGATTCCTATGGCAAGAAATATTGAAGCCAATTAAAATACATTTACTTAACTGAGGCCGATTTTAACTTAAACCAAGGATATGAAGCCATTTATGAAGTTACTCAGTCCTAGGACCCAAAATAAGACTGGACACATTTATTGGATCCTAGCCCAATCCTTTTAAACCTGAAAGCATTCTATAAAACATTGAATTTAGTTCTATCCAGTGAATAACATACATTTAAAGATTCAGGCAATGTGATTGTAAATCAGACAAGTAATAATTTTACTAAACTTTGACATAACTTGATTGAAAACAAGTTTCTAAGATGTAATTTTTTCCATGAAATCCCCACTATGATACAACAATTGAAAAAGAATCCGAAAAAAAAAACACATCCTAGCTGTTAATTAATATAAATGTGATATACACCGCCGTTTTTAATTGGAGGAGAATATTTGAATAATAATCCCAGCTGATAAATTCCATTCTGCAGCGTCTAAAAGAACAACCACAAGTTCATTCAATTGAACATATATCAATTCAAAGACCTACTATCGGAACGAATACAACCGTATGTAGACGGATCACCTTGGAAAATAGTCCCAAATTTGCCCTTTTTAGGTCCGACCAAACATTGTCTAAACTGAATGCATGGAGAGCGCTAATCAAATATCGTGTTTTAAGGTGATGCCCATGTCAGGTTCACGTATCGTTAAAGTCATCTGTAAGCCACAATTAAAGATAACACCATATAATAATAATAATGAGATATGTAAATGTCTCAAAAGTCATCGACTTTCTCACTATTGAAGATGCTTTCTTTTTCCGATGGTCAGTATGTTTACACAGACTACATGCCTATACCGCACTACTGAAATCCAAGTAGTGTCACGTACACGGTGTACTTAGTACGTACACGGACAAATAATACCCATCGTCCATGGTTGTGGTTAACTAGAATTCCCGGTCTCTGTGGTTCACATATTGTGGGTTTAGTCCAAATCAGTGTTTGACATTTTGCTCATTTTGTGACATGAATCTTACACCGCCGAATACACCCCCTTGCTCTCTCTGTTCTGAAAATCTACTCGAAACACATACCTTTACCCATCAGATTCACAACGATCTCTACTCACCTCTACAATTAAAATTCGATGAGAATACAAAGCTGTTGACACTTGGTTTTAAGGACCGTCTCACACACGTGCGAGACAGGTACTGTGAGCAACTGGCTTTCATTTCCGCGTTTTTATCCTCGTGATTACGTCGCGGACAAAGGTGTACCCCGGCGAACTGTAATCATGAAGTCGGTGGCACGAGATAGGCTCCCACTAAAGACAGTTTCCAAATGCCCTGCAAAATCATTGTAATTATCATAATTTGACAGGCATATCTGACTGAAGTAATTACTATGTTCATACTCCGTTGTTTTCTACATTGCAGAATTTCATTGGAGCATGTAGCTGTATTTTTACATTGAAGCTGTGATGTTAATCTTGATTATAATACATAATATGTTCTAGTGGGCGACATAGGGTCAATTATGCCACTTGTTTACTCGAACAAAAGTTGTCTTTTTATACTGAAACACTTACATTAGTCTTCAACGGGATTTCTATGCATCAATCAAAGAAAGCGTGAGTCACGCCGCACCCCAAATGCAACACACCACAAGTAAATCATTAAAAAACACTAGTGCATTGTGTCTGCATCCTATCCAATCAAGATACATGTAACTTGCTTTCAGTTAACGCAGTCATCTTATTTGCATTTTTCCACAAGTCTTCCTCAAGTTAATTTCAGTGCAACAGACAAGCTTAATTGATAAGTGCCGCTTCGTGCAATGAACATGCTCCCGAGCTTCCCTAGTATACATGGCTTAGTAATTTTTTTCCGCATTTCAAAGGAAGTTTCAAAGACAAATGTATTCCTAAAAACAAGTGTCTCGCAAAAGCAGAATTTATCTTAAAAAAGAGGAAAAGTGGAGTAACCCGGGATGACCGAAGACTCCCCATAAGGTGCCTTATGTGCCACTGCGGCGGAAGGAGGATACATAGTGAATCCACAATAATGGAGTAACCGTGGGTATGAAACAAGAGCCTTTTTTCTTTTTATGAAACAGACGCAATGTTTTATGTTGATCATGTTTTATGTTGATCATTCCTGGTTCATTTTGGTCCAAAGTAGACCAACTTTTTGTCTTAATTATTTAGTCCATGGTTACTGACAAAGTGAAAATACTTGAGTAAAGGAACTTTACATGATGTGAAGTCAGCACGAAGCATTTCAACTGGCCTCTCCATGAGATTTTTGTCTTCTGAAACCACTTCATCTCATTTTTTTGTAGGATGACCCGTGGTAAAGGCATATCCTATAGGCCTACATTTGAAATAGAAGAATTTAAGTACCCCTGCTTAAAATTCACTTTCTGCACAAAGTGCAAATTCAAGGATTGCTCACACGTGTGAACTTTAATGTGTTGGTCGTATAAAAATAGTGGTCTTTAAAACCCATATTTCTGGGTTACTACTTAATTTAGAATTTGATACTGAGAGAGAGAGAGAGAGAGAGAGAGAGAGAGGCGGTCGGTTAGTATGTAGGCCCTAAAATGGTTGTGGAATCCCCAAATTCTTAAATTTGTAGTATCTCCTTAATTTCAGTGTTTTTACGAAAGGAGCACACTACGAGCACATTCTTTTCCTCGATAAAAACAACTGTGTGACAACAAAAGCGTAATCACATCATCACATCCAAGTTCATTGCTGCGGACAAAATGTATTCATCCATTCAAGAGGTAAAACATAGCATACAATGAGTAGAAAATTTAGCGGCTGATGTTTCAGTGAAATTTAACTGAAATGCGTTAGAGAAGACAGTCTTGGCATTATGTCCAACACAACTAAAAAAAGTAGTTACGGAAAATGGGGCTGGTTAGGATTATTATATCGAACACTATTAACATTCAAGAGGAACGTTAAGACCACCATTTCCTCCTGTAAATTTCACAAGGAAATATTTATATCAGGTACTTTAGTTTTTTTTAATGATTTTTCAAATTCTGAATTGGGAAAGTTACTTTGTTTTGCAGGATATGTAGGCATAAGAAATATGACTTTGTGGCATTTTTAGACGTGTACAGTATGCATTCAACATTTAACCATAGCAGCCGTTATCGGAAATAGAGACTTATAACTTGCCTCAGTTTTAGGCCTTACCTACAGTAAGAACCTAGCATCTAAGGCCTTACCTGCTCTAAGAATCTAGCAGGTACCTAGTAAGGCCTTACCAAGAGTAAGAACCTGGCATCTAAGGCCGAAGACTGAGGTAATAAAACTGAGGTAACCTTAGAACCTACTCGTCGATGATGGTCTCCCACTGCTTAGGCTACAGATTGTATGTTAACAACAAAAATTCGAGACTGTTCGTGTCTGGTAGACACTCAAAGTCATTATCAGAATTATCACGGTACAAAGCGAACAATCATCAACATTCCCCAGAGTTTGTGATAATAAATACAAAACAACTTTCTCATTTTATTTTTTTCTATAAAACAAATGCAAGTGTCTGTTTATTTGACTATTATGGATTTAGATTGGGTGCAAGAAGACTAAATATTTAGTTTTAATATATCCTTTTTGTGAAACAGATCCCTTTGAGTTATAAGTTATTAATTATTTTCGAAAAATATGAGTTTGAGTTTCTAGAATGCCTATCACAGGATCATTTATGCAATTAAACGAGGAGGCAGGTAACCCCTCATCAGCACAACAATCTGTCCTGTCACGTGTTAATCGCATTTGTTCTTAGTTTGAAGTAGCTGTGAACGAAAATTTAGGAAAAAAATACAGAAAGTGAGGATTTATCCGCTCAAAATTAATATATTTTAAGAAAATTATTTAATCAAATTTGTTGAATAATTTTCTAAATTTTACACGTGCATAGTTGACACTATTACATCGATATTAAGATTTTGAGAATGGTAGGTACCCATGTTACCTTCTCTGAAACAAGTACAAAATATCTCCAAAAAAAAAAATAATAATAAATAATAATAATAATAATAATGGTGATAATAATAAATAAGAGTCTAACCTGTTTTTAGCAGAGTGATATTTTAGACCGTAATACGTAACGTTGTGGACGTAATCATCATTGTGACGTCATATTTACGTCAACGTCAACCCATGCTTAGAGCTGCGTTGATGTCACTTGCCCTAACGACGGAACTCAAAATGGCGGTTAATAAACCGTCACCGCCAGTTTGTTGATAGAAATGGACGTATCCAAGAAACTTGACTTAAATTACTGTACAGTCCGTAACCTAACTTCCCGAGGGGTAAGTGTAGAGATAGCCCAGTCAATAGTTCATTACCGCAAACGACATCATTTATTTCAACACATAGACGGATTATGGAAAATACCAGGAATGAACAGAGATTTATTCAATTATTTAAAACATGTTGCATATATACCAAATGAGGGCGTTCTTGCTATCGGTTCAAAGATACCATACGAAGTAACCCAGTCAGATATCTACAGCAAAGATTCGACAACGAAACACCCAGCTAATCGAAAGTCTGTAGAAAATTACCCAACATCAAAACGAAAAGGGGATCAAAATGAAATTGGCAAGGAGTCAAAAGCAAAAAAGAGAGAAACGCCTCGGCGGATCTGTCGCAATTATCAAAGACAGCCATTTGAAACACCAGTTTGTCAACTTGAAATGTCGCATAACGAGAAAACGCCGTTTTTATCAATGGGGGAATGGAAGCCTCAGAAGTTACCAGCACGGATACGAAACAAGAACACAGGGAAAAGTTCACCTAACGTGCAAAAACACGACATCCCTGTCCATGTAGAAAGGTCCAAGTCGGGAAAACAAATAAACGTCGTCTGCTACTATGAACAGAATCAGGTTCCTCCAAAAGTCAACCTTCAGGTGACGGGCGTTCCAGATACCCGACCATTAGGACAACTTCGCTCTCCAGATCTTACAGGACTCTCCAAAGCGCTTAAAATTACCAGACTTTCACCGCACAGACACGAAAGACCCGATGAACCTATAGCTATGGACAGGTGTGATGCCCTTGGGAAAGCCATTCCAAATGAGTTTATGGACTATATGCCAACAGAGAAGAAAACTCAAGCACAGATACTTGCAGTCCAAGGGATGGGACTCGGGGGAGATTTGACTCCTGAAAAAATGAGACGCCTGGACGATCCTCAGTGGTCACAGAGAAACCCGCACCTCGAGCACGTCGAAAAGTGGCTAAACACCGTTGTCGAAACGAACGTCCCCCGAGAAAGAATTGAATCTGATATCTCTACACCACCAAACACTCCTCGACAGAACGAAATGGAGCGGATCGTTATTCCAATCGCAGCAAACACAGACGAAGACCCATCAACGAGTCTCTCCCGGAATTTTACTCAGTTTGAGGAAAAAGAAAAACGACAGCAAAACTACGAATCGGAAGAATCACCTGTGCAAAAGGAACCGCCTCCGAAACGACAGAAAACAACATCAGTACACCGGCAAAGAAGGTATCTGAGAAAAGCTAAACGACAATCCAAAACAAAGCTTGAAAAACGGCAGTCCAATTTAAGCCATTTGAGCATACAAGGAAAGACGCCCTTCAAGCCTCCAAGTGCAGACGCGGGGTGTGCAAGAGAAGAGACTTCGCCGCCCAGCCAAGAACGCCAAGCAGGTGAGTTTTCTGGGGAACCACAGACGCCAACACCTCGCCATCAACCCAGACATCGTCGCTGTCCCTGCAGAGGTAGACATCACTCTCACTGTAAACAGAGACAGACATTGGAACACGGTCCACATCGTCACCATGGCAACCTTCATGGACACGCCCACCATCAGGATTCAAACCCAGGGAACCAAACTGCCGAACAAGACGTAGAAACGCAGGCTCAAAACATGTGTAGTATAATGTGACCTCAGGACCTTGATATATGCTAAATAGGAGCTAATTCTTATAAGATTGTCTTATCGTATCCAGGTTTTGAATTCAAAGAATGTGAATCAAGCTTTACAAATGCTTTTTTTTCTGTATTTTGGCAACCATGAAGTACCTTTTCAATTATATTTTTTAATATCTTAAGAACGTTTCATTTACACATGTAAAATACCTGAAATAAAACTTAAAATTTTCAATTTTTTCTTTCAAGTGTGAGTTGTGAACTCAAAATTATAATTCACTATCCGAGTTTGTTCTGTAATGTATTTGGGAGTAGATTAAAGTAAAATACATGTATATATATATATTGCATCACAAATAACTTTTAAACATAAAAAATGATTAAAAAAAAAAAAGAAAAAAATTTGATACCCCTTGCTAGCTTTCACTGTTATGTGTTGTCAAAAAATGACGCTAGGTGTCAGCAACCGGAAGCTTTATCTAAAAAGCGTAAAATAGAGGCCATTTCTTTGATGTTGTTAATATCATATACAGTATTCAAATGTACTCACGGGGATAGAAAAAACAATAAATCGGTGTTATTATAAATATATCATGCAAAATGAACTTAACAACAATGCGACAACATACAGTACATGCTATTTTGTCCATGTTATTTTAATCATTGACAAAATATTTACATTTTTGATATTTTTTCTTTAAAAAGTAAAAATAATTTTAAATTCCAATAAAATGATTTTTGTCACGAGAACCTAACTCAGAAATGGTATTAATATAATATAATATAATATAATATAATATAATATAATATAATATAATATAATATAATATAATATAATATAATATAATATAATTATATATTTTATTTTTACGTCGTTGTGTGCAACAAACGATAGACTATTAGATTGTGATATAATATAATATAATATAATATAATATAATATAATATAATATAATATAATATAATTATATATTTTATTTTTACGTCGTTGTGTGCAACAAACGATAGACTATTAGATTGTGCTGGTCATTTTTCTAGATACATAGATCATGATAGATTTTTCCTTTGTTCTGCGCCTCATATTGAACTCAGCCTAAGACAATAATTGTAGGCTAAAATGTCAGTACGACCAATCATCATCACCTATCACTGCATCTACGTACTTTCTACATCAAACTGCACACCGACACCTGTAATATTGATGACACAACAGTTCTTGTTATCCCTATACGGCGCTCTGACCATCCATTGTGTGTGAGCGGGCGATGATAGATGTTATCACAATCACGTCACAATGATTGGCTTCTCGCGATCTGGTAATCAAACGGTCAAATACGCGACTAAAAACAATATTTACCAGAGGCCAGCTAATATTTCAATCCCACATGAAAAATATCAATGAAAAAAAGTAATGATAAAATATAATTATTATAAATACATTCAAGTTACTGTCGTAATATGCAAAAATTCTATCTAGACACGCACTCTTAGCTTTATTAAAAAAAAAAAATAAAAAAAAAAAAAAAAAAAAAAAAACTCAAAGCAACTTGAAAGTTAAGTTTGGCAATTTTAGGACAAACAAATGTAAATTTATATTTATAATGTGTCAATATTTTCTATTTATGCACCGGGAAGAAGGAAAAACAAAATATGGGAAAACCCAAGACTCAGTTTGCGGCGAGCCCACGCTAATAAGTTTTCTTAAGTTTCATCGTTTTCGTAGTGATAGAACGCTACCACTAATTCCTATCTCCCTTTGGTTTGATTTTAATAAAAAGTATGGACTAATGATCTCCCCCTGTTTATAGTTCTAATGTGTCCATATATCGTACTAAACTACCATATCACACTTTTTCGGTCAGAAACCCATATTTGACGTCATGCTCTAACGTCAAGGGTCAAGTTAATGGCTTCCGGAATGTCACAGCAGAACACGCGACCTACAAAACTTTTATTCTGATACATGTTTTATTTCTTTTGATATAAGGTTATTTTTGCGAAATCATTACTTGAATAAATCATGCGTGGGAAATCCACGTTGTCATCATGATTTTACATGTTTTGGGGAAAATTTCTAGTTCTAAAAATTATGATTAGGTCTTGATGACGTCAAAGTGTCAAAGAGGAAATATACGGGCCACGAGCTATTTTTAGACTAACAGGAAAACTCGCCGCTGGAGACGCATTTACTTCTCACAAGCAACAAAGAGAAGACGTACATGATTTAGATTTGTTTAAATTCTACAAGTAAGAAAGACTGGAGATGAAATGTGTTTCTTGTCAATCGATTCTTGTGGTGAGTAGTACGTTTTCATGAACAGTATTTGAATAATTTTAGTATAATACTCTTTTTTGTTTTGTTCTGCGTCGTGACTTGCGCCGTGAGTGAGTCAGTAGTTGATCTAGACTTGTCATCGAGACTCCACCCGATTAAACTTGAGAAAATTCATTAATATATATTTTCTTAATTGAATTTTTTTTTTTTTTTTTTGTAATAATGGGGAAATATTTGCGTGTGTAGTTTAAGGCAAATACAATATCGGTGTCTCGATCTCTTTTAGGTATTTCTGGTATCTCAAGTTAGTGGAGGGAAACCTTCAATATTTAGCGTATTTGGCAGTCTGGGTCTCATACTCCAAGATCAAACACAAATTTACCCAGTTGTAACTGAGAGAGCAGCAGACCCTCGCCTTCTTAATTTTTCTTCGTCACTGAATACACCAGAAGCCATTTCAACCACGGGTAGTTCTTTAAGTGGCGTTGAAAATAATAACATCACCCCGTCTAGCCGGCCCGAGGCAATCAGTGCGACTGGAACAGCAGATGTTAGCAGCGAAGCCACAGGTACAGAAAACAAAGCCCCCCTTACAACGACATCAAAGCCCGCTCACCTGGGGACGACAGGTGGTCAGATAATTGGCTTCACTGCGTCCTCTACATCTGACGGAGTTAACAGCGCCTTAACAATGGAGGATGGCATTAAGGAGAACAATGACCCTCCCGTAAGTAGCCAGAGTAGTATAAATGAAGACAACCTAACTGGATCGGGCACACAGAGTTCTGAAGTTAATCAGACTGTTAACATGGCCAGTGAGGGAGTCAAGTTAGCCACCAAAGAGGTCCATAATACTAGTATACTGGGCACTGGCCTGAATCTGTCAGAGTGGACAGTGACCCTGGCGGTCTCAGGATTTGCCCTTGGGGTTCTCCTCATGTGCCTGGCAGCTTTCTTGGTCTACAGAAGAAAGAAGAATAAGTGGAGTGAACGTTATTTTGTAGAAGCACCAAACCACATCCCCAATGATCTCCGAGATGCGGATTTGCAGTCTATCTTCACAGAGAAATATGGCCGCAGTGAGTGTAAGGATGTGACCCAGGCCTTGCATGCAATTCCAGAAAACACTCTGCAGATGCAACTCAGCAAGAATATTTACAACCAGACAAAGGATTTTACCAAAGGAGACAAAATCTTTACCACCAATCCCCCACTGGAGGCCACAGACATTCAGGGACCAAGGTCAACATACATGGGGACAGAGTCAATTTTTGTGGTCCAGTTTTCTGGAATGGTGACCAGTGAAGGTGGGATTATTCAGAGCCCAGAATCAGAGGTGTCCATCCATGTTCCTCCTGGGGCTGTTCCTGCAGGCAGGGTCCAGGCCATCCATGTGAACGTGTCCCTCAACCCATGGCCTTTCAATCTCGTCCTTGGTGATGATGAGGTCCAGCTGACACCTGTCGTGGAGTGTCTAGCTCCAGGTCTCAATAGTTTCCTCAAGCCAGTCACAGTGGTCCTGCCGCACCGGGCATATCTCCATGACGACCAGTGGTCTATGTGTGTCCAGTACAGCCAGTCTCCAGTAGGAAGTATAATGGCGTGGCATGATATACCAGCACAGAAGATCAACAACAAGAAACAAGCCATTTCGTACTCTTTCGATGATCGCTATGTCAGGATAAGCACCACACACTTTACAACATACACCTGCTCAGGCTGTGGCAAGAACAAGAAACTCCGGCTCTCTGCTGTGGCATTTGGCAACTACCAAGATTTCCAGGGACATCAACAAGTGAATTTTAGAACCTACATTTGTGATGACTTTGTGGATGCCCAGAAGGTAATTCTTTAATCATTTTTTGTTTTATAGCTAAAATTTAGACATAAAACCTTTTTTTTTTTAAATAAACTGATCAAATTTATGGCAAATCGAAAAAGGTTACATATTTGTAATCAGGGATATGTTATATTATTACCAAGACTGGGTGTAACTTTTGTATTATGATGTAAGATTTTTTTCCCTTTTTTTATCAGTACAATCCTCTTGCACACAGATTTATTATAATGATGTTCATAAAGCATATTGTGTGTAGGCTGACTGAATGGTTCTTATTATTGGACACAATACCTGCCACACCTGTAAAAAGTGTCATCCTCATATTAGTCTCTCATGCCAACAGTGGACAATTAACTTCAGAGCTACATAAACATGTTTACCAGCTGAAAGCTCTCTATCTCACAAATCAATAGTCTGTGTACAATTATCCCATCATTTTCGTGGCCTGTATGTAGATTAATTGATTTTTTATGTCCATGTCAACTTTGTAAACATTTCAGCAGCATGGTATCAGTAGTCGTTTTGATGACGTTAGTAATTTAATGTACATGTATTCATGTTTTTTTATTTACCTACCCTTCCCCCCACCTTGTCGAAAAGCAAATGAAAATAAAAATACACCATTCGATTAACAAATTTGTTTTGATTAAAAAGTGTGCTGTGAATAGACCCTGTTTCAAATAAGTTCTTTAATTTTACAGAGAATTTTGGAGTTAGAGGGCCCCCTAGGAGGCCGCCAGCGCACCCAGTATCAGCCACTGGTTATGCGTAATTCCAAGAACTGGGAAATAAAATTGATCAGTGCAGATGATCAGCAGTGGCCTTGGAAATTACATCATCAAGATGAAGTAACAAAGGTGAATATAAAAGAAATGTAACTTGTATTTTTAGTATTTATGCTATTTTTTTCAACAAGGATTGAATGTTTGTTTTTTTTTTTGTTTGTTTTTGTTTTTTCAATTTTTCTGCATTGCAAAATAATTTTATTTTTCACGAAAATGGAAAGGTTTTGAACAATGGTAGTCTGTGACTGTGTGTTATTTTCCCATTTTCTTGCCCATTAATCTTTAAGGAAAGTTTTAATGTGCCATCATAAATTAAACAAACACTGGCTTCCTATTGGCTCAGAGGGGGTTGTTCAACCAGGAAAACTTGTCATTTCCTAGTCTGAGGTCTGAGGTATAAGATTACATGTCTGATAGAATAATGCTATGCTTTGTTGGAGAGTAATTAATTTTGTTATACGTGGGTTTGAGAACTTGGGGGTATTTACGTTGGAAAGAATTTAAAATGTTTTCATACAGAGAGAACAAAAGTTTTTCTTTGATCCTAAGCATCTATTACTGTGGGTAATGGTTTTTCCAGTCAGCATGTTATTTCTGTTCAAGTGAATTATTACTCGACTTGTTTTTAAGTTTTAAAGGGATTGTAAAAAATGTGCAATTCCTCTGGTAAAATTTGATAAAAACTGAAACTTTGAATTGATTTAGTCTAATTTAATTCAATATCCTTCAGGTAATCCCAGTAGAGCTGACTTATCACTGCTGCGGTACTCCACCTTCCGTGAACTTTCGCTGCCTCTCCAAGGCCAACTGCCAGCCAGGCATTGAGGCAACGTTCCAAGTGGCACAGCTGAGGAGAAAAAGATCAGAGATGGTCCCTGTGGAACTCCTCACACATAACTTCAACTTTACATCCGAGGTAAGTTTTTTTTTTCAACCAGTTATTTAATTTTTTGTTTATTGGAGACCGCACTGAACTACTGATAGTAAAGCTGGATTACTGCTTACTTTCAAATGAAAGTGAAAGTAAGATACCTTAACTAGCTTTTGGTATATAAATAATTATCATTTCAAGATTTAGCAGCAGTATGCATAGGCCAGGATCATGTTGTCTTTTTTTGATTAATTGCTGAAATGCCAGGACTCAATTATACTAGAGCTTCTTTTATTGCCTAAATTCTCATCTGTGTACCTTAATTTTTTTTTTTTTTTTTTTGGTAAAAATGATGTAAGTTAGAGTATAATAAGCTTTACTGGTAATGGTTATTGAAACTTGGTTCAACTTGATAGTTAACCATTTGGCCAATGTCATTCGGACGAGTTATTTCCTCCCTTGATGTCCTAACTAAATGTGTCCTTATCTTAATTACATCCAATTATGGTAATCATTTGACCTGAAATTGGCATAATTTCCAGTTTATAAGGACAAGTCATGTTTAGTAGTCTCAATCATCCTTAATGGCTATTAAGTTGTTCTTAAAGAGTTGGCAGTGCTCAAAGCCAGCCCCTGATTAAGGTCATAAACTAAAGAGCCCGTTGTTGGTGACATTTTTTAACAAGTGACAGGTGAAAGAACCTTCATCATAGCACAGCTTGTGATACCTGTGGCAATGTTAACACCTTAGTAACACATGTAACCTAAATAGTTGTGGCCTGCTGGCCTTAGAAGCCTGGACTTAAGGTCATTCTGAATTTGAATTGAGATAATAAAGAAATGACATGTACTGTCTAATGTACCAAGTGACAAAATAATAGACGTCAACATTGTCAATGGTCAGGTAAAATGTTTCAGAGTAAGGAATTTAAGTTGAAAGAATTTTATTAGCTGCTGTCATAAAAGATGGTGGTATTAAGTTCAACATGTGCTTTTCTTTTTCATAAAATTTAATATTAGCTCCCCTCCCCCCCCCCCCCCAACGTACACACACCTTTGAATGCATACTACTTGTGTAGTCATTTATAAGTTACATAATACAAAGATTACAATTTCATACATTTCTATGGTTTGTCAGTTTGAAAAAATAAAAAAAAAGTAGAAAAAGTAAATGTATTTATTTGTAAATTTCCCATTTTTCAATCTTTCAGAGCCAGACTGGACATGAGCTCTCCAAATACCTTGAGATGAGGCTATCCCAGGCACAGGTGAATTATATTGAAAACCAGCTGTCCCCTCAAGACCTGCCCACTCTAGCCAGAAATCTCGGACTCACTGATGCACAGTTGGATGTCATAAAAAGTGACCACCAGAACAACAGTCGTGAACAAACGCACCAGGCTATTGTTCACTGGCAAAGACTAAACGGCCAAATGGCAACCGCGGGGAAATTCTGCAAAGCACTAGAGAGGTCCAATTTGAAACTGTTTGCAGAGGAGCTTGAAAGACTTGAGATTATTGCTTGAGATTTACACTTTTTTCAGGCTTTTGCCAATTTATTTATTGGAAGAGGGATAGGTGGATTGATGACAGTGATATTGTGCTGGAAACAAAGTATTGCTATTTATAGAATTTTGATTTTTTTGCTATTTACAGACTCTCTCTGAGATTCATTAAGAAATCAAAGTTGATGTTGGCTTTGAGAGACTAAGGAGATTTACAAATGAAAATAGGAGTATGAAGGATGTACCAAAATTAAATTGGCTTTTTTTGATAGAAAGTTTTGGGACAAGAGGATTAAGATAGCAAGAATCCCCGTTTTTGTTGTCAGTTAAGTAGAACCAGCTAGTCACTTACAGCCTGGGTTTTTATTTTGAGAGGAAACATTATAAAATGCTCATTAAACTGCATAAGTAAAATATCATCAATTATATTTTATACTCAATGTAATTTTAAAGCTATAAAGGTGCTTCTACTTATTACGAAAAATTCAAGCCAAACCAGTACAGGGTAACATTTTTTTTTGTGTGGTATCTGAAGACCTTCACTTCACGTCAAGAGAGAACAAAGCAGCCTACTGCAATTTATTTTTGATATTTTAAAATGCTATATTGAAGTTTATAATACTACATTAAGCAGTTGGTTAACCAACTCTTTTCTCAACTGATCTCAGGTTGTAAATGCTGCGACCATGACCAAGTAACTGACAATGCACGTTTTTGTGATAATTAATGGCATTTGTGTACTTAACCTCAATCCATCCAGATGCAATGTAAGACAAAGAAAAATTGCAATAAAGACTATTTCATGTAAAATAAACCTTTTTTATTCTGTTTGGTATTGTACACTGCATCAGAAGAGATGGCTATTTCATAGCCAAACTCTATGCTTGGGTTACAGCTAGATTTCAAATAACCACTTTTTGTAGTCAAACTGCAAGCTTGTTATCACAGGCACCCAGGTTAACGAAACTCTCCGAGTGGAATGATTAAAATAAAGACTCAGTTTCATTCACAGAGTCCATTTTGTCATGTTTTTGCCATTTTGCTTGTCCAATTATTTTCAAAATGAATTCAGTTGTTCTGAATGAGATAGCCTTTAAAATTACTAAGTGATGTTTTCTCATAACCAATTTTGTGCCAGTGAACATGTTTAGCTTTCAGCTCAACTCTCCACTGAACAAAAGAACATTCTGAATTCACAAAAGAGAATTTACATGTGAAAACGAGGTCTGAAAATGAGAATTGAACAAATAAATCCAAGTACAACAATCCTCTAAATAACGAAAATAATCATCAATAGCACACTGTGCTTTGAAAGTAGGGAATTTCAAAAGTGACTCAAACAGCATATTGACTTCAGTAAGATCTGGACAACAGTGTTATGAAATTGATTTTTTGTTTAGCAAACTAATTAGTTTGCAAAATCTTTGTCCCTTCTGTTTGTAGTCACTGTCATAGACATTAGAGTCATTCTTTGGTCACAGACTTTCAACTGGCAAATAACCTCTGTTTGAAGGCGTACTTCCCACTGTGATGAAACGAAAGGACCACCAGAAAGTACAGGGAATTTTCAGCACGTCTTTACATTTGATTTCATTCCTAGATATTCTTATTCATTCCATTTTAAAATTCATTCCCAATGGAGCAATGCCTGTAGTTAAAGATGATCTGTATATTTTTTTAGATCTGATTAAATGACTGAATGTTCTTTTTCTTCCTGGTCATTTTACAAGTCCTGCTTTCTTAGCCTCAGTCTCATAGATTAGGAGTCTCCACATCTTTACCACAAATACTTCAGCCTCTTCATCAAGAACCTAGAATTCAAATATTCAGACTGTGAGTAAATATAACTCAGCTTCAACTGAATGCAACTACCTACACATTTCAATGAAAATTCTAAACTCTTCCATTTTATGGCAGTAAAAAAATCAATTTCTGTTGTGTTTTGTGCTTTAGACTTCAAACATATTTGGTCAGCCTACTAAGAATATCATCATAAACTATGGTGATAATAAATGAATAAACTTAATCAAAGGTCTGAATTGTTTAACTGATAATTCATAACATCAAACTTAAAGCAAAACCCCTCATAAATCTCCCATTTAGTATTACTTTTCATAAAAGATTAACATTCCTATCCACCATAAATATCAATTAAACATAAAAGAATATTTCATTTCTACTCAAAAGAATGTCATAAGAGGAATGAATGAAGCATTGATCTAAGTCAGTAAATCAAATCTACCATGAATGAATTCTCTTTATCCACAATGTTCTTATTTCACGACTTAGAAGTAAAATATGAACTTTTCCACCCACCATAAAAAAAACTGAAGCCGATAAAATTCTTCAAATGATTTGAGCACAAGATGGACAAACTTACCATAGCAACATCTCCTAGTATACTGCTGGGTTGACTATGTGACATGACCTTTTGGCAAATGAACTCTGTCAGGGTTGGCTCTTCCTCTCCAATATATTCTATGATCTTTTTATTCACCCATGGTTTGATGCGTTTCTCCATCAGGACCTGTAATTAAGCGAGCCAAATCAATCTAAGCACCAACTAGCAAAAAAAGATTAAGTTTTGACCATAATAAAAGCAAGGTCACTAATGTGACAAACTCTTTTGTAGAACGACCCACAAATGGTAAAACGTCTTCAGTTGTAAAAGATTAAACAGCAATCTTCAAAAATACCTTCTATTGATTTATTTCTCGTCAAAGGGCATATTTATCCATTTTTTATTTTATATTACATTCAATGTTGTAAAATAACAACTGAATCATCTGTTAACTTATTGGGTTTAGAAAAAGATGAAATCACAAATGTTAGTTTCAGAAGCATATTTAAAAGAAAATCCTACCTTATCCACCATATTCCAATCTAGTGTGAAGGCAAACAGCTCCTCCTTCCCTGTGGGAATCCTGTCTATCAAATTTTTGATATTTTTCCTCTTTTCTTCTATAGTAGCTGGCTTGTCTAAAAGTTCAAAATAAATTAATGATTACTATGGACTCACAACTACATGACAGTTGTCTGTCAAAGACTGAAAAAAACTGTACTTGCAAAATGCATACATATAAAATCAAAGGTCGTCAATCAAAAAGTACCACCTAAAACAAGCAAAAACTTGCTCAAATTAAAACTTTATCTCCTTTTGACCCACCTCCTCCTACTGCTGCCTTTTCATCCTCGGAGTAATCCAATGGAACTAATTTTCTCCTCTTAGCTCCACCCATAGAGTCTTCATCGTCCTCTTGGTTGAAGACATCTCCTACAGTCAATTTTTTCCTCTTGGCCTGGACACTATCTGGGGAGCTATCTGCACCTGGGGGGAATAAGGATGGTTATGTAAACTATTATTATTAAAAAATGGATATTTTTGTAAAATACTGATTTTAGACTTATTTTAAAGCCAAACGGTGGATCGGCTGGCTCAACAGATTAACTGCTGCTGACAATTTATTTTTCATGAAAAAAATCCTCATAATCGTGCAGCTAGAGCTACCTAACTTTTCTTTTATTTCTAAAGTAGATCAATAACTGACACTCTCAATAAAGCTCAGAAAGAAGCTCAAAATTCTGAGAACTGTTAAAACCAGTTAACTTATAAACAAATGTTAAGTGCTTTAGAGAATATCTCATGACAAAACAACTAAATATATCTACAGCCTCCTATTCTCATCTCAATGAATCTAACTGTACTCTTTAATTCAAACTTGACAATTAAAGACCTGCTCCTCTATACCTAGTTTGAGCCCAGTAAACCCAATCCTGCTGCTCTCTTCCTTAGGGGCTGGCCCTATGAAGGGAACAGACGGGCTGTCTTCATGGGCACTCTCGGGAAGACCAGTATTCTGATAAAAATAGAAAATGTTTCTTAATCATTACTGCATACAAAGCAAAACCTGATCATATTTAGTCAATGACGAAAGCCACCTGCCCAAGGCAGCTAAATTTGACAGTGGACTGGTGTTTTAAGTTAAATTTTCAAAGTGACTTGAATATTAAAGAATTTAAGCCTTTGTTGAGATAAATAATCAATTATATATAGATTTCATCATCAAACTGGTTAATTTAAATTTGGACTGGTATCTTGTAATAATATAATAATTTGATGACCAGTGTGCTGAAAATCTAAAAGCTATGACTGCAACATTGAACAGGTTTTATCAACTTCTGTCTCTAACAACTGTGAACCATGTCACACTCACAGAATATCCATCTGAGTATGCAGGACTGCTCTGACTTGAGGCTGCAGAGGTGGCAATTTCCACAGGTTTGAAGGTGGGAGGCAGTTTGGGGGGCTGAACATATTTGACTGGCTCTGGTTCAGGCTCTGGTTCTGGCTCCACTTTGACTGGGGCTACAGGGGCGGGGGGAGGACGCAGGTGCTCTACACTCTCCCTCTCCAACTGGCGAAATAAATAAATATGTAAATAAATTAATTAAATCCCATTTTTTCAAAATGGAGTAATATTTACCGAAGAGAAACTTTGCACTTTTCAGCCAGTCCGTCTTTAACATGGCTGAATACAAAATAACATTGGTGTCATAAAAGATACCAATTTTTCAACAACATTTCTGGCACTGTGGTCAAACAGTACTTCCACATTTAACAAATTACTGAAGATTTACCTTTGCTAACTCTTCCTCAGGGTTGGGATGGCCTTCTTCTAAAAGTTTTTTCCTTATTTCTTCTAACTCCTCTTTCTCTCGCTGCCTGTCCCTGGCATCGGCTTCCATCTCCTTCTCCCTCTCTTTTAACCTCCTCTGTAAGGCACTGCCTCTGTAGAAACAGAAATACAAAAAATATCATCTTTTAACCTCCTCTGTAAGGCACTGCCTCTGTAGAAACAGAAATAAACTAAATACCATCTTTTAACCTCCTCTGTAAGGCACTGCCTCTGTAAAAACAGAAATACAAAGAATACCATCTTTTTATTTTGACACTGTAACATGTAATAAATAATAGCACCACCTTTTTGTTTTTACTCTGTGTCAGGTAACACATAATTAAATAGGCCCGAGAAATACAATTTTGATTTTGTTTCTTTTTTGTGTGTGTGCAGTAATGCCTTAAAACATAAGTAATAGATTGCACTGTCAGTCTTGATAATTTTTTTTTAAATAAAATTTAATATACACGTAAAACAGGCTTGACTTCTCTCTAGCTTATTACACATTTTAATATTGACCTTCAACATGATATGTTACAATTACAAGAATAAATACATTTTTAGTTACAAAACACAAACCTGTAATATTTGGGATCATCTCGCTCATCATCATAATCTTCTAGAAATTCTTTAAGTCTTCTTGCTTCTTTCACCTGAAACCATATTGCTATTTAATAAAGTAGAAGGTGAAGATAATAACTCTTTAAGCCTTAAGGTGTTTATATTTCCCATTTCTACTTTTATAATAACAGTTTGTATTTAAATTTCAAAGGTAATAATAAGATGTAATTTCATGCATAAAATGAGGAGACCTGCAAAACCAGCATTCAAATATTGTTTTATTGTAAAAAAGATTATAACCTCTTCTATTTTTCTTTCTTCCTCTTTTTCTTTTTCCTTCTCATATTCTCTGGCCTTTTTCCTCTCTCTGGCTTCCCAATTTTTTAACCTCTGAAAGTAAAGAATATATATTAACATATAAGCAAACTACAGGTTACTTGCACTGCAAATGTATTCATTTTACATTAGAGCGGTAGCAACTAATATAAATGTTAGACTACTAAAATTTTATACTGCTAAAGACTAAAATTGCATCATATTGTTAAAGACAAAATAGACAAGCAGAAGAGGGTGTTTGATCTGACTGTTTCACCAAGAATGAATTATTTGATTAAAATCAATTATGTAGTTCTTACAAAAACAAGTTTCCAAAAGAAATACATTGCACTTGATATAAAGACCTTTTCTAAAAGACTTTTTCAGTGCTAATCTACGTTTTAACATTTGACCATTTGAATATAAAAAGCATGATCAGTGTTAGAAATAAAGGCTGGACCGTCTGTCCGGGGCTGACAACTTTCAGAACGGGCTGAGAAGTTTTTCCACTCGGCAGATATTCAGTCCAGCTACTTATTTTCCTAAGAGGCAAACACTGAGCATGATAGCTATTTATTTTATTTTATTGTGTGTGTTGTCATACCTCTTGGTATGCCATTTCCTTTTCTCTTAGTTTCCTTTCTAATTTTCTTCTTTCATAAACTTCCTCTTCGTCCTCCACTTCTTCATCTCCACCACTGTAAACCACATGTACACCAATTATCTCATTTCAAACTAAAGTTGCAAGTTGAAATCCAAGGGACACATCTTAAAAACCATTCTAAAATCTTACTAGCTGTATCAACTTATAAACAATATATCACAGCAATGCACAGCTCTGTGGGTGATTTAGGTCAAATTGTGATAACAAAGTATGTTTAAGACTAACATTTAATTTTAAATATAAATTATTCAAATAAGTTTTTAGTTTAATTTTAAACTGAACTCTCACCCACGCTCTCTTGACCTTGACCTCTCGTAAGACCTTTCATATGACCTTGCCCTTGATCTGGAGTTGGAACGTGACCTAGATCTTCTTCTGGACATTGTTCTCTCTTTTTCTCTTTCACGCTCCCTTTCTTCCATCTCCCTCTCTCGTCTCTTCTTGTCCCTCTCTCTGGCCCGCTCTCGTTCTCTTTCCCTCTCTCGCCGCCGTCTTTCACGATCATAATCTCCTTCATCCTTTGTGGAAGACTTGTCTTCTTCATCCTTAAATAAATAGCAAAAGAACCCTTAAAATTACTGAAAACTCACAGCTTTCCTTTTTAGTCAACATTCTTCTACAAATCCATTTTCCTTCAATTGCCATTTATATCTGATTTCATATAATCCCTTGCATTGTTATTACAACATGCAGGAATTCATATAATTTTGCAGTGAAGGGTGATAAAATCCACTCTCTTTACATGGCAGTTTTAGAAAACTGCACCATATCACAAGAAAAAAGAAAGAAAAAGACCAACACACTCCATTGTGCAGGCAAACATCAATACTCAGTTCTTTCTACCTTACTCGGGCAGCAAAAAAGCGGTAATTTCCAACTATCTGCTTTCCGTGTTCCTCCTTTCTTCCAACTGCTTCTCTTAAAACCTTTTGAAGATTAAAACAATGATTAGGGGGGAAATCCCACCCTCCCTCCCATGTCCACACCCAAATTTTGAAAATAATCAACTAAATCATTAAGAACTAAATAGGCAGGGCTGAATATTGAGCCTGGTGAGGGCAGACTTGCATACCAACCTCAATATTTTTTTAAAGATTTTCCTAAACCAAATTTCAAATACTCAAATCATTAGACGATCCAAGAAAAAAAAAGCCAACAGAAACTTTCGCATAGGAATAAAGACACATTTTTCATTGTTTGGCATATCATAATACAGGATACACTTCACTCACTGTTGAAAGCTGAAAATAATGGTGGTATTTTTGTGTTAAGACTTCTGACTGAGCCGATAATGTTAATGACACTCACCTCCAGAAAAACAGCTGCATCACTATGAGATTTAATTCTGACTGATAAAAATGTTGTAGGTAGAGGTTACTAACCTGAGGGTTCAAACAGGATACTGTCAAACTGCAGGCGATTTTTACAACACAAGAAATAGCAGCTACAAGACATTAATTTAAAGAAACTTTCAGAACGACAAACTACAACACTTTTACATATAAACTATACAAATCTAATCAACTATGAATACTCCATTCACATCAGGTGAACTAGCAGTGTGCTTTTAGGGCAAGTGTAAACTTTGTTTTGTAATACTTGTATCAAATATTCACCAAAAGCGAAGAACATCTGGATACGATGAATGTAATTTTGTGTGTAAAGAAGGTCAAGCGTGGCATCAGGTTCCATGAAGCCTTCAACTTAAGGCTTACTACAGAGGTCAACAACAACTAAGGCAGGAGCACTACTTAATTAAGACAAAATGACATTTCCTGACCACTCACCTGCCAGTCAGCAAATGCCTCCCGGTGGATATATTATCATTATTTGAATCAAGAAAGAAAAAACACTCACCAAAAGTGATCCACATTTAACTTAGATATGTCAGGAGAGGCAGGGGAATTCGTGATATGGAGTCATGGCCTGTATAACTCTCCCCACAGAATCTAGTTTGTAATTTGAGTAATGAAATAATGGGCATTAATCCTCAGTCATGTGGATGGTTATGATGTGAATATAGGTTAGTGTGGGTAGGTGTTTTATGTCTGTGCAAGGCTGTTCTTTTTATTTCAAGAATTATATACAAAATTGTCAAAAATTCATGAAATGAGAGGGGTTTCACATGCCTTGGGATTCTTAATGGTACTGGAATAATGGCTGGTACTGAACTCGTTTTCTGTACATGTTTGGGATACAGTGTTTGAATGAATTTTTCAACAAGTTGAGCACTGGAAGAGGAAGCAGAATTAAATCATAGTTAACTTTGAAAGAATTCTTATCTGTGTCCTACCTTGTGTAAGTCGCGGAATTTGTTTATTTCTTTGTTGATGAGATCTTTCTTATCATCTTCCATTTCTAGATCTTCAAGCCCCTGAAATTTGATATTCAAATTATTTTCAAAAATGAGAATAACCATGGAATCAAAAAATCACTCTCAGAAAAAAATTATTCATAAGGGCGACACGAAAAAGATATATTTTCTTTTTGAACTTCGTTTAGATTTTAAATAAACCTAAAAAACGACACCCTTGTAAAATGACATGATGGGAGATAAACTGCCTACTCTGAGACAATGTCCCATACCTGATCAGCTTTTTTCTTATCCTTCTCTTTAAGGTCTTTCTTTTTTATGTCTTCTTTTTTCTCTTCTGGTTTAACTGAGGGCTCTGGTTCCTTGTTCAACTCCCTGGCGTACTCCCTCATGATGGCATCCAGGCCTGCCTTGGCAACTCTGTCTTCTCTCTGAGAAAATTCATCCACATCGTCTGTCGTTTCTCCCTCCTCCTTCTCCTCTTTGCTGGAATTCTTTTTCTTCTCTTTATATTCTTCCAGTAATGTTTTGGTTTTAGCATCTACTTTCACCTAAAACAGTATAATGAACATCAAATTATCTTTCTTTAGAGGTTCCATGAGAAAAAAGTTATTACTATAATTCAAATTTTACTCAGTTGTTAAACTCACAAGACCCCAAAAACTTACCACTAATTTTTTGCCGCATATTGCCCATTCATTCAGTAGTCTTATACACCGTAAAGTGGCTTCTGGATATTCATATTCACAAAACCCAAACGCTGAAAATAACAATTTACCAATAATAATTTCAATATAGAAATGGAGCACATCATCCTTGAGTTCATAATTACATTTTTTAAAAATAACAATATTTAACCTACTGACTTTTTAACGAATAAAAATTCAGTTTCAAAGAGTGTCCCACTAACATGACTTATCCTTCAATGGTATTAACATTGTCATCAAGGTCATCATTTTAAAAATGAAAAACAAAATTTTTTCACTAGCCACACTGTGGTCACTCTGGCACATTTTAAGTATTATCCACAGAGCACTGGGAAAGACAAACCATTCTGAATATCTTTATTTCTATAACTTCAAAGCAAAAAAAAAAAAAAAAAAAAAAAATCAAACATAAGCAAAAACTCTGCTAAAATAAGCCCAATAACATACGGTGCTTCTTACACATGAAAATAGAACAAATATTACCTTGTAATTTCCCTGAGGCGCCTTGAACTCTCTTCCAGCTTATAACATTGCCACACCTCTGAAATAAACCAAACGAGTGCAAATCAGGATCCACATCTCAAACAGCAAATATTATTTATTCCGGATTTAAAAATCATATAGATATGATTTGTTGCATTATATCCTATGAAAAACACCCCCAGCTTGGATATACTTATTGCAACCAGCTTTCAACACTTTTTTTTTCTTTGACTCTCATCAAAAGCATTTGTAATCAGCTGGGGGCATATAAAGCAACAACCCATCACAAATTCTGATTTTTTATCTTAAATATTTTAAGCACAAATGATAGCATAATTTTTGAACTCACAGAGAGCATCTGTCTGACCATGGCATCTGGAGCTCTCTCACTGATATTACCAACAAATACTGTAGTCACCGGTGGCTTCTCTTCTTGACCAGTACTCTGCAAAGACAAACACATAAGCTAATCAATATCAGGTTTTTATCATCTGGCAATGGTTTCATGGACATTTTAATATCTATCACTTTTATTAATCCCTTAACTAGTATCAATATTTCCAATAAAGGACAAGATGACTATTCCACAACATGTTTCTTCTTTACATTTGTTTCTACCCATAACTTAAAGAAAAATCAAGGTGAGATGATGCTGGTCACTTGTTTTTCCCTTTATTAAGGATGAAAAAGAGATGAAACCATGAAAATGCACTGATGAACCAAAAATCAAAAAGGCTCAAGTACAGATAAAATGTAACCAAGCTTCAACATATGGAGGAATGCGTCCTTGTGGTTTATAAGGTGAGACAGTAATGTTTTTATATCCACTGGAAGCAACGAAACTAAATGGCTCTGGGTTAAACCTTAATTACTTTCAGCTCCATGCAGGTGGTACAAAAATCCCAGGTAAGGTAAACATTTTATAATGGAGGTTAGGACTACTTACATTTGGTATCTCCTGAGGCACAAGTTTTTTCTGATTCTGTTTCATCGTGTTGTTTTGGTTGGCTGCAGGGTTGGGAGGCATGGGCATGCCAGGACGCATCATCTGAAGAAGACAAATCTCAATTAACCGGACTCTAAGAGATCTGATTTTTCATCAGCAAAATGCTAAATACATCTACTCCACAGACTGCACTCATATGAAAATATACTTTTTTTTAGTGTAGCTTTATGCAGGTTTCTGAAAGGTATAGTTTATGCTGGCTGTTAATTCATATGAATTATTTGCAAAGTTCAATATTATATAGAAATTCTACTGCAATTCAACTGGGAAAAAATCTTAGCTTACCCCCATCATTCCCATATTCATAGGCATCATGCCTGAAAAGAAAAACAGATCAATAATTTTAAAATCAATGCTTCTTTTTGTTCTTATCCAATTTTTCACTTTATCTGACAACTTTTCTGAGACCAGTCTAATGAAAGCAAGGTAAAGAACGCAACTGTAGCAGTATTGGGATAAGTGTCTTCAAATGTTCAATTCACTGACAGAAATGCACACAATTTTTTTTTTTACATTAAATAGCAATTTCATTTTCATGAAAAAGAATTTTCACTGGTCTCTCGTGTATTGCAGATGATCAAATATGCTAGTCACAGGAAGGAATTGATATTCTTTATATACCATGTTAGGAACAAAAAACTTCTACTCATTATTAAAATTACCCTGGTTATCGGGGCTATATATAAGAATTCTTGGTCCTGCTTTGAATAAAATTGTTATTTGGCTTTAATTAAAAGAATACTTGATTTACATAGCACAGCTTTTCCCACAAAAACAATTAAAAAAAAAAAAACATTTCATTTCACACAAGTTCTGGTGGACTTTTTCCTGATGATAGTACCCAAGTAAGTCACAGTTGGATGTAATATAAGCAGCCTTATAGTCTGTGAGAATCAAACTGCACTGGCCTGACTGGGTTATGACTGGACTGGTCAGCTTTATTTCAAACATTAATATGCCACATGATGCTGTGAATTGTTATCCTACTTCCCCTGGCAGTCAAATGGCAAGCATGGCACAATCAAATGAAAAAAGGTCCTTATCATATAATGTACTTACCCATGCCATATCCATATCCTGGTGGCATCATGCCAGGTGGCATGGATGGCATGCCCATGGGCTGTCTTGGAGGATAAGACATTTTGAATTAGAGCAAATACCTTTTGAGGTATATCTGATGCTTAGAGATTGGTTTTAACTCCAAGGATTAATATCTGCAAAAAGAAACAAATTTTATGAATGGGTAAATGTATATTTCAAATTCTCTAAATATTTGGACAGTTTTAACATTTATAATGACAAAAACTGTTTTGACTACACTGTCACAGATAAAAAATACAATAGGCTTTATGCATATAATATACATTCCAAAGCTTAATTCTTAGTTTAAACACTATGCTTGCACTTGATATAATAATGGAGTCCAAATTTGTTATCAATAATTATCATCAGCTTGGTATGGGAATAAGATTCATACCCTCCCCTCCCCAAAATTTCAGTTCAGATAAAATCTTTAACAACTTTAATGATGAACATGCATACATCCAATAGCACCAAAATAAAGATATGTGGAGTGCTTGACAATGGAAAAAGGTGATTATTGAAAATGAAATGCCAAAAAGCTATTTGAGTTGATGCTCATGTCCCATGTGTGCTCTTACTGTACTTTTAATACAATTACCGCACTCTATCAAGTTTGAACTTCCTCTGCATAACACAGATTAGAAATTTGAAGGAAATTCAAAATCTGAAATATTCACTGGATGAATTTGGCAATCAATGAATAATAATTCGATACCTATTAATATGAATTTGAGAGGCTTACTTCATTATATAATAAGCCTATAAAACTTACTCGGTAATTTTTTTTTCTTAGTTCAGCTTTGTGGAGACTTAAATCAATGCCTTGGTTGTTCAATGAGGTAGTTTTTCTATTATTACCTACTTAGCCTTCGATGTTCACCCTTAATGACCTGTACTAAGCTCTCGTGACATTCGAATGCGCTTGATATTAGAAAATAGTTACATTTACTAGCTTGTGCTGAAAAGTATAAAGTGTGGTATAATAATTACACATACCGACTTAACCACATCGATTTTGCAGAACATGTGAGACAGCCGTCATTCAGATAGTCAAAGGCACTCCAATGACGAACTTGTATGAAAAACGCGTGCGGCTAGAAAGCAAAATGGCGGCTTTAATGAGGCAGACTCGTTTTCGATTTATCATTGTGTTTGGTGAGATGTAGATTCTGCATTGTAGCGCTAACACAATTGATAATCACCCAAACCCAATATAGAGATGTCACAAGCATGTTATTAAAAATATTTACTGCACAGATTGCTTACCGTGTTTGATTATTTTAGGGTCCCATATGAAGAAGCTTGTATAAAAGTTTCACTCTCCTGGAACCATGAATGATTAAAAATTCATCGTTTAACCCTAAAAAGGAACATACACTGTACGTTACTGTCACAAATACAAAACGTCCAACTGTTTTTCCAACTGTTACCTAGTGACGCAAAGCCCCTTGAGATACAGTTTAGATATTTATAAAAACGTCTAATTTACCATGACTGAACCACTAAAAAATATATCGAAACGCGGCATTAAAATGAAAATTAAATGGCAAGGAACATACGTTACCGTACGTTTTTGGAACATACGTTACCATATAGGGCTCTTTGCGTAATGTTAAAGACATGGTAAAAATTAAAAATTGAATTTCAGTTGAGACAGTCATAGATTTTTGTTCTATACACATTTATGTTTTGAAATATTGAATATAATTTTGAATTCATTATTTATTTATTTATTTATTTTTTTTTTTTTGACACTTCAGCATGTGAAATGCACCTCTATATTTGGTTTGGGTGAATGCGTCTTGGTGTAGTCATGATTTTGTACGACTGTGAAAACGCACTTCGATGGAATGTGAATAAACGTATTGAGTTAAGCTGGCATGAGGCATTTAATAGGGAAATATCGAAAGTGCAAGCAAAATCCGTTTTAATCTGTTTTTCGTCTTAATATATTGTTTCTTATGCGNACAGAAATTCTATTGCAATTCAACTGGGAAAAATCTTAACTTACCCCCATCATTCCCATATTCATAGGCATCATGCCTGAAAAGAAAAACAGATCAATAATTTTGAAATCAATGCTTCTTTTTGTTCTTATCCAATTTTTCACTTTATCTGACAACATGTTTCTGGGATGAGTCTAATGAAAGCAAGGTAAAGAAAGCAACTGTATCAGTATTGGAATAAGTGACTTCAAATGTTCCCTTCATTGACAGAAATGCATGCAATTTTTTTTACATTTAGTAGTTATTTCTTTTCATGAAAAAGAATTCCCACTGGTTCCTCATGTTTTTGCAGACAATCAAATATACTAGTGACAGGAAGGAATTGATATTCTTTATATACTGTGTCAGGAAAAAAAATTCTACTCATTATTGTAATTACTCAGGTTATTTGGGCTATATATAAGAATTCTTGGTCCCGCTTTGAATCAACCCGCTTGTTATTTGGCATTTATTCAAATAATACTTGATTTACATAGCACAGCTTTTCCCACAAAAACAATTCAGAAAAAAAAAAACATTTCATTTCACACAAGTTCTGGTGGACTTTTTCCTGATGACAGTACCCAAGTAAGTCACAGTTGGATGTAATATAAGCAGCCTTATAGTCTGTGAGAATCAAACTGAACTTGCATGGCTGAGCAATGACTGGACCAAGGTCAGCTTTAAATTCAAACATTAATATGCCACGTGATACTGTGAATTGTTATCCTACTTCCCCTGACAGTCAAATGGCAAGCATGGCACAATCAAATGAAAAAAGTTCCTTATCATATTATGTACTTACCCATGCCATATCCATATCCTGGTGGCATCATGCCAGGTGGCATGGATGGCATGCCCATGGGCTGTCTTGGAGGATAAGACATTTTGAATTAGAGCAAATACCTTGTGAGGTATTTCTGATGCTTAGAGATTGGTTTTAACTCCAAGGATTAATATCTGCAAAAAGAAACAAATTTTATGAATGGATAAATGTATATTTCAAATTCTCTAAAAATTTGGACAGTTTTAACATTTATAATGACAAAAATGTTTTGACTACACTGTCACAGATAAAAAATGCAATAGGCTTTATGCATATAATATACATTCCAAAGCTTAATTCTTAGTTTAAACACTATGATACTTGATAACACTTGATATAATACTGGAGTCCAAATTTGTTATCAATAATTATCATCAGCTAGGTATGGGAATAAGATCCATACCCTCCCCAAAATTTCAGTTCAGATAAAATCTTTAACAACTTTAAGGATGAACATGCATACATCCAATAGCACCAAAATAAAGATATGTGAAGTGCTTGACAATGGAAAAAGGTGATTATTGAAAATGAAATGCCAAAAAGCTATTTGAGTTGATGCTCATGTCCCATGTGTGCTCTTACTGTACTTTTAATACAATTACCGGACTCTATCAAGTTTGAAATTCCTCTGCATAACACAGATTTAAAATTTGAAGGAAATTCAAAATCTGAAATATTCACTGGATGAATTTGGCAATCAATGAATAATAATTCGATACCTATGACTTTGAGAGCCTTACTTCATTATATAATAAGCCTATAAAACTTACTCGGTAATTTTTTTCTTAGTTCAGCTTTGTGGAGGCTTAAATCAATGCCTTGGTTGTTCAATAAGGTAGTTTTTCTATTATTACCTACTTAGTCTTCGATGTTCACCCTTAATGACCTGTCCTAAGCTCTCGTGACATTCGAATGCGCTTGATATTAGAAAATAGTTACATTTACTAGCTTGTGCTGAAAAGTATAAAGTCTGGTATAATAATTACACATACCGACTTAACCACATCAATTTTGCAGTACATGTGAGACAGCCGTCATTCAGATAGTCAAAGGCACTCCAATGACGAACTTGTATGAAAAACGCGTGCGGCTACAAAGCAAAATGGCGGCTTTAATGAGACAGACTCGTTTTCGATTTATCATTGTGTTTGGTGAGACGTAGATTCTGCATTGTAGCGCTAACACAATTGATAATCACCCAAACCCAATATAGAGATGTCACAAGCATGTTATTAAAAATATTTATTGCACAGATTGCTAACCGTGTTTGATTATTTTAGGGTCCCATATGAAGAAGCTTGTATAAAAGTTTCACTCTCCTGGAACCATGAATGATTTTTAAAAATAATTCATCGTTTAACCCTAAAAAGGAACATACACTGTACGTTACTGTCACAAATACAAAAAGTCCAACTGTGAAACGTTCTACTCACTTTGAAAATTCAGTCATCACTATTTTTGTTCATTGATTTATCTCCTACAAGTATAACGTTGCTAAAATTATAATAATCTTCTGTATAGAGCGGTTAATTGATTTTGAGAGACTTTAGTTTGCTTGTCACAAAATATTTAAAAATGGGGAAAATTATGGCAAGCCAAAGGGGAAATAATTGCAGAACATGTTTATCACAGCCCAGAACCAATAAATAGTATTCAGAAATATGATTTCAATGCCAAAAATCACATCTATACACATATCAGGAGGTATTTTTATACTTCAGAAATGATTTCCTCTTCAGAAATATCCTACATCATAGATAAGAAACATTTATCATTCATAAGAACTGAAGTTCATGTTGCTGGGAAAAAAAACATAGTATCAGAATATTTAAGAACATGTTGCAGAAAAAAAAAATCACATCAATTCGGAGTGAGGTTTACGAATTCGGAGTGGGGTTTACGAATTCGGAGTGAGCTTTTTCAATTTGGAGTGACGTTTACGAATTCGGAGTGAGGTTTGCGAATTCGGAGTGGGGTTTAAGAATTGAGAGTGAAGTTTAAGTATTCGGTGTGAGGTTTAGAATTGGGAGTGTCGTTTGGAATTTGGAGTGCACTTGTGGGCCACCGTAGCAAGGAACATACGTTACCGTACGTTTTTGGAACATACGTTACCATATAGGGCTCTTTGCGTAATGTTAAAGACATGGTAAAAATTAAAAATTGAATTTCAGTTGAGACAGTCATGGATTTTTGTTCTATACACATATATGTTTTGAAATATTGAATATAATTTTGAATTCATT